TCTTGTCAGCAGAACTTTATGATGCGTTTGGTGTTTATGTGGACTATTAGCAATTTTCCTGCATATGGCATGTTATCTGCCTGGAAGGTTATCATGTCCTTATTGTAAAGATAACACTAATGGGTTTCAGCTGAAACATGGACGGAAAACGAATTGGTTTGATTGCCTTATGCGATTTCTTCCAAAGGAGCATCCTTATCGTCCGAGCATGACGAAATTCAGGAATAATTAACATGTTTGACTGAGTTGAGGTATTTCAGTGCACAGAAGACTGTAGAATTTGGTAGTAACGGACATGATCATGTGGACACTTATGGTGACCTACACAAGTGGCATAAAAAGTTTTTTTTTTTTTGGAATTTGCCTTACTGTAAAGACTATATATCGAGACATAAACTATATGTCATGCGTTCGGTGCTTATGTGGACTATTAGCAAATTTTTTGACAACATAATGAACACCGTTCTCAATGTAAAAGGAAAGACGAAAGACAATCTGAGTCTAGATTAGATTTGCCATAATATGATCTCGTCAGGTGCTATATATTCCAGCAAATGGTAAGCCTCTAATTCCCTACTTTTCGCTTGGATGCAAATGCGAAAAAAAAAATGAATTTTATTATCAGATTAATGATAAGGTTGGATTGTCAGACGGCTATGCATCAAACCTTAAAAATTGTATTGAACATGGAGAAAGAAAATTTTATGGAATTAAAAGTCATAATTGTCATGTTGTGATGCAACGCCTCCTTCCATTTGTTTTGTTGGTCTTTTACCACAAAATGTGCATGAAGCAATAGCAAGTACATTTTAAATACATTTCTATAAAATTTTTTATTTATGCTTATTATTTTTGTAATTTTTCGTTTTTTTTCTTTCAGCAATCGCTTCCTTTTTTCAGGATATATTTACCAGATTTTTGACAACAACCGGTATCCAAAACCTCGAGCATAGAATACCAAAAATATTGTACTAAGGCCGAACATGAGGTATAAGGGAATTATTATAATAATTTATTATTATTAATAATTTTTTATAATAATAATAATTTATTAAATTAATATATTCAAATAAAATTTAAAAAGTCATTTTGTATAAGAAATACTTTATATATTAATTTAAACAAATTCTGATTCAATAATTTTGTTTTATCAAATTAAATTAAACTATATGTAAAATATAATAAAATAATAACTATATGAAATTAATAGAACAAGGCGGAACAAGAGTAAAAAAAAAAAACACAAAATGAGGTATAAAGGATGTCACTTTCTTTTGTATCATTTCTTTTTAAAGTTAGTAGCATTTTTTAAATGATGCAAGAATTATAATGTCACTTGTAAAAATGGCACTAAGTTTTTTGCATCACTTTTACAAATGACATGAAATTTACATTTTAGTATCATTTAGGTACAAGTGATGCAAAATAATGTGATTAAAATCATTTGCAAAAGTGATGCAAAAAAAAAAGATTATGATCATTTGTAAAAGTGATGCCAAAAAAGAGATTAAGATCATTTGTTAAAAGTGATGCTAAAAAAATATTAAAATTTATATTATAATGAGGATATCACTCTTCATATGAGTGACACCTGACAAATCTCCTCTTTCTAATAAAAAGACATGTGACATCCTCACATTTAATATAAAAAAATTCGCTCTGAGTCCCTACACATTTAACTTTTTACAAAGAAAATCAGAACATTATTTCATTTATTTTTGTCTCCTACACCGAATCGGCGATTCCTAACCCTAACCCTCAAATCGCCTCCTGCCCGCCGGGTCACTTCGTCCCATCTGATTTCACCGGCCCGCTGCTGCAGCTGCCTCCTCCAATCACCCCAATCGTTGCCTCAGAAACACTTTCATAACCTCCGAATTCCTGCAACAAAACGCCTCCGTACGAAGATGCTCCACCACGAACCACACCTCATTGCGGAAAATTCCCATCCATTTTATTCCCCAAAAATCAATTCCTAATGCGAGAAAAACCAATCAGAGATAAACAGATCTTAAAACACAGAGAAGCGATTTGAATAAAGCAATAAACTTGGTCACCAAAATGCGAAATCTCAAGTGATTGTAAAGAAAATTAGTACTGGATCTCGAGGAAATTGAAGATCGGAACTTTAGTGGAGAAAACAAGTAGAGAGCAATCAGGATGGAGCAAATTGAGCGGTAAATGTGGAAAAGTAAAGCAACTCACAAACAAAGTTTTGAGCTTGCTTCGTCTTCTCCGGTCAGCTTCTTAACGTTTCTCTCTCTAAACATATCTGTGTCAGTGTATAGGTGGATTACCAAAAGCCCTTTTTTTGGTTTTCAAGTCCAACTTTCTCGCAAATTTATTATTTTAGCCCCACTAATATTACTATATTATATATTTTACTTTAGCGAAATGACAAAATGATACTTGTGATTGGACTTTTAGTACATAGTTAAATTCCACAGATGCTGCAAATTATTTGCGTGGATGATCTTACTTTTGGTATATAATCAAAAGGTTTATTTTTTTGAATTACTTAATATAGTAGAGAAAAGAAAGAAGAAAATTGATAGAAAGATTGTTTTGTCTGTTTGGTAAATGGTAAATTTGCTTATACGTGATTCTATTTTATCTAATTGAACGGCTGAAATTGATCATTTTGTGATATTAGCCGAGTCTGAGTGAGATTGGAAAATCACAAATTGTAGAATCCTATATTCAACAAAATTACATTTTATTTATATACTGGGCCGTGATTAAAAAGTGTAGAGCCCACCGTTCAGATCTGCTCGAGGAAGGCGAAGAGGAAGGAGAAAAAAAGAAAAAGAAGAGAAGAAGAAGAAGAAGAGGAAGAAGACGGAAAGGAGAAAAAGATGAGGAGATAGACCGTCGAAGAAGACGAAGAAGGAAGGAGGAGAAAGGGAAAAAAAGTGGATATTCAAAGAAAAAAAATAGGTGAAAATTTATGTGCATTAAATTAGTACTAACCAATAAGAATTCAACTATTCTTTTTCTGCAATTTGAAATGTAAAATATTGGGATTTAAATATTATTTGTAGTCTCATATTATTTGCAATGTTATTTGATGACATATCTCATTCACAGTTAATTTTATTAATAATTTTTAATATTTTGGTTTTATAATTTTGGATTTAGGTTTTATGTTTAAGTGTAAAGTTGAAGAGTATCATGAATTTATAATTAAGGGTCTGAGATTTTAGTTTTAAAATTTGAGATTTTGGATTAGGGATTTGGGATTTGTGATCTGGGAAAGTAGAGTTAATAATTTTGAAATTATTTATTAGTATAGATTATGAATTTTAGATATATATAATCATTAACTGTGTTTAGGGTTTAGAGTTTAAGATTTATCATATAATTTTATTTGAAATTTGTTATAATTGTTAACAAAATATGTTCATTCTCGAAAAATATGTAATCATACAAGAATGTATGAATTTTTATAAGTTAGATTTCTTTTTCTTGTAAATGTTAGATTTAATGATTTAGATATAAGGGTTTAGAATGGCTTTTAAAGACTTTTGCTAATTCTGATTTAAAGATTTTTTTTTTAATAAAAGTTTATCGTTTATAATTTAATCTTTTGGTTTAAGTTTAGAATTTTAAGGTTTGTTTTTTTAAAAACAAAATTAGGATTTAGGATTAAGATATAAGATTTGTAATTTGCTACAACTAGCCACAATTAATTTGTGGCACATGAAAAACATTTTAATGAATTTGATTTTAGAGTAAATAAGAAGTAATATACTTTTATATTTTATATTTTGACGGCACGTTTATACAAATAAAAAACATATTTACAAAATTCAAATAACAATTAAAATACAACTAACAAAACTTAGTAATAGTCACAACTCGCGCATCACGCGGGCTTTGCCTTAGTCATTTGTAAAAGTTAGAGCTGCTAATATGGGCGTCCACGTCCATTTTGGTCCGTCCAATTTTGTCCATTCGTTTTGTGGACAAAATATTGTCCATATCCATTTAGGACCATGTCCATATTGGTCCATGTCCATTATAGCCCATCTAAATTGGTCTGTCCGTAGGCTGTCCATGAACGAAAAAATACAGATTTGTGATTATATATATATATATTTTTTTTTTTGAAAATTGATTTTTTATGTGCGGATTATAAAAAAAAAATTCCCAAATTGATATGATCTAGATTTTTATGTCCATTAGACAGCCTATGTCCATACCCAATTATGTCCATATTAAAAGTGGAGTTATTCATGTCCGTTCAAATTTGTATGGACATGGACATACCCATGGGCAGTGTCCAGTTTGATAGCTCTAGTAAAAATGATGCTAAATACCAGAAGATTATAATCATTTGTAAAAATGATACTAAAAATGAGATTAAAATTAAAAAAGAATCTTTAATTACATATGATTTTATATTAAAATTAGAGACTAGGGGCCTAGATTAAGAATTTAAGATGTAGATGTTAACAGTAATATAGATTCCTTTTCAATCTTGCATTGAGGGTACAAGTAGTTTTATTAATTTCAATAGTCTTGTAGTCTTGAGTGACGTGTAAACAATGTCCTTCCAAGTAACGTAACATGTCATCTCTATTAACAGAAAATCGAAGTTGATTAACACGGCAAGCGATGAAGAGTTCGTATATGAAATGGATGATTTTTATAGTTCGAATATAAAATGGTACACCTCAATTGTTTGGGTACAAAATGACACCTCTGGATATATCTCGGGCACCAAATGGCAGTTTTCCCTTAGGTTGTTATGAAGACCTTGTCCAAAATAAAAACTCAGGTTGGTACCTTTCTCTCGTGTTCACGGCAAGAAACAAGACTTCATTTTTATTTAGGATAAAATGATAATGCCACCTGAATAAACTTGAAAACGGATATATAATTTGTACACAACCAGCTCTGCATATACAAATGACTAAGGTCAGTTCAAACACACCACAATTCCCCTAAACCCAATCTCTCTCTCTCGATCATGAAGCAAACTCGAATATCAATTGTTGTCACTTTTGATCCTTGAGTTTCTCATTTTGTATGTACTTAAGAACTCCATATGCAGTTGTCCCAGCCACAAACAAACCAACCGATGGAGTGAACACTGGATACACATACTTGACAAACAACTTATCCAACTCTTCTGGGAGGAATCCTGCAGAGCCCAAAACGAAAATTCACATGTATCAAGACACAAAGATTCAAACTTCACTCTTGAATGATTTCTTCCAAGACTAGTACTAATTGAAAAGAATCCACTTGTAGAGATTCACTATCTCTCTTGCCAAATCTTAGACTAAGATTGAAGATTTTAGCAATGTTAAAAACAATCCTCTCATTGACTTAAGCAAATCTAACGAAACTATTAGAGACTTGTTCAATAAAAGTACCTGAAGCGGCAAGAACAACGCCTTCGATGAGGATGACGATACCAAGGCCAAGCCACGTAAGAAGAAACGCATTCTCGTTCCTTCTCAGCTCATCTGCCTTGGCAGCTCCTTCTTCGCTGATAAACACCGGTTTCTCAACAGGAGGACGACGAAGCACCTCTCTCTTTCCTTTCCCTTTCTTCGCCGGTGACCCGAATCCTATTCCGGATGAGCTCGATTTCCCCGGTTGATCCTCTGTCGTCTCGGGTTCGATTTGGGAATTCTGACATTTGATTGCGAATCTAGGGTTTCTGGTCGCGAATAGATGATGAAGATGATTGGGTCTCGCGGAGAAGGAACACCAAGGGTTGATTTGTAGCGCCATCTTCAGTTGATTTGTCTTTGCGATAGAACGAGAATCGAAACTCGTCGTGGATAATGTCCTTGTTTCTTCACTCTGACCCAAACGACGTCGTATTACGAAATCGGTTTCACTTCCGGTTCAATTTTTAATCGGAGATAACCTCATTTTTATTAGAATCGGAGAAAACAAACAATCATCTCAAGCTAATAGACCATCCAATTCCAACATTTCTTATTGTCTCTGATACATGATTATCCATCTAAACATTTCTTTGCCAAATGTTATGATGAATTAAACATGTCCAATAAATTTTTTTATAAATATCTAAACCAGTGGGGATATTAGACCATTCCGTGATTGAAAAAAAAAACACTTTTGACATGAAAAATTTGATATAGTTGGTCGTTACTCGTTACTCGTTACAAACTCCCCTTCTTTTTCCAAATTTGGCATAATTAAAAAAAAATATAATAATAATAAACTAGAATATATAAATAGTACTTTACTATGAGTGGAGACGAAATGTTTTTGGTCGAGTCACTGTCTCAAACCAGTACGCCGAACTTCAACGACCATAGACCAATCCGCTCGGAAAATCAATCGCCGGCGATCGAAAACGACCGCTCGCCAGACGTCTTTCTCTCCTCTTGAAGCAAACTCTTTCACACATCTCTCTCTACCTCTCTCTCTTCCTCTCAGTTATATATTATGATCGTCTGCTAGAGAACCCTTTCTCTCGGTATCAAATTCATCACCTTCTTCGTTCTTCGTTGAATTTGCCTTAGTTAACTTCTCGATCTCTGGTAATTTCAAATCTCTGAGAAAATTCCCCGAGTTTGGTGATGGTTTCGTTCGACTGCGCATTGTCGACTTTTGGATTCGTTGTATAAAAATGCGTTTTCGTCTTTGGTGTTTTTCTGCAGGACGGAGTTTATATAGCGATCCCTGAAAATGGTGGATCCGGGACCGATTACGCCGGGCCAGGTACAATTTCTCGAGAAACATTACACTCATACTCAATTTTGTTTTTGTTCTGCTACTTTCGATTCAATGCTGAGTCGATTGAGGCTAATTTAGTTGAAAATTGTCAATACCATTTGGTTTAGGGTACGATTGTACAAAATTTATATACCGAAGGATGAAGTTGAGGTCTGCCAAATACATGAAAAATCGAGTCTTTGTTTGTACCTTTGAATGACTTAAGAGCAAGATTTAACTTTAAGTGAGTGAAATTTTTGTAGGTATCTTTTCTACTTGGAGTAATCCCAATATTTGTTGGTTGGATATACTCGGAGCTACTTGAGTACAGGAAATCTTGGGTTCCTTTGAAACCGTAAGTTTTTTTTGGCAATGCAACACTCTCTGTATTACTTCCTCCCTTTCGGTATAGTTCTTGATAGGAGTTGGATTCTTGTAATGCAGTCACTCGGATAATAACCTGGTTGAATTGGAAGACGTAGCAGAGAAAGACGATGACAAAGCTGATTTATTGGAAGGTGGTCTTGCCCGATCGACATCTGTAAGATTCCATAATTCATCCATCAGAACCAACATAGTAAGGTTTTTGAGTATGGAGGATTCGTTTCTGCTGGAACACCGAGCGACCTTGAGAGCAATGTAAGTGAAAAGTTAACTTCAACAAGTGATAACAATATCTTTAATTCGTTAACTTTATGTTAACATTCACAATCATACCTTTAGGTCGGAGTTAGGCGCAATCTTGATATATTTCTATATCTGTGACCGCACGGAATTGCTTGGAGATTCTGCCAAGGTACTACACATGTCTTTCTTTCACTCGCTCTGTATCTTCAATAGTTGAACGCTTTTTGCTCATAGGATTTGGTTTCTTTTACAGAATTACAACCGAGACCTTTTCCTTTTCCTCTACATTCTTCTCATCATAGTATCAGCCATGACATCTCTCAGAAAGCACAACGACAAGTCTCCCATTACCGGGAAGTCCATTCTTTACCTTAACCGCCACCAGACTGAAGAGTGGAAAGGATGGATGCAGGCAAGATTCTCTTGATCATTGCCGCTCTTTAGTGCTCGCTTTCAACGTATTGTTCTCATGTCTTCTTACTTCTCAACAGGTTTTGTTCTTAATGTATCACTACTTTGCCGCGGCTGAGATATACAACGCAATCCGTATCTTCATCGCTGCTTACGTCTGGATGACTGGTTTTGGAAACTTCTCGTACTACTACATCAGAAAGGATTTCTCTGTGGCACGTTTTGCGCAGATGATGTGGAGGCTGAACTTCTTTGTGGCATTTTGCTGTATTGTTCTCAACAATGACTACATGCTCTATTACATCTGCCCTATGCACACTCTCTTCACCCTGATGGTTTACGGAGCTCTGGGTATCTTCAGCAAGTACAATGAGATAGGCTCCGTGATGGCATTAAAGATATTTTCATGCTTCCTGGTTGTCTTTGTGATGTGGGAAATTCCTGGAGCTTTTGAAATATTCTGGAGTCCATTGACATTCTTGCTAGGTGGTTTAACTTCTCTAAATGGAATGAAACATGGAATCTTAAGAGGTTTACTAATATTTGGAAATGGCCATGTGAATAACTTGCAGGTTACAGTGACCCTGCCAAGCCTGATCTTCATCGGTTGCATGAATGGCACTTCAGATCAGGCCTTGACCGTTACATATGGATCATTGGAATGATTTATGCCTATTTTCACCCTACTGTAAGTTGTGAAACATAGACACGCTTTTGGTTTTCTTTTGTATTGAACTTTAAAACTTGAGATCGTTCTGTAGGTGGAGAGATGGATGGAGAAGCTAGAGGACTGTGAAACGAAGAAAAGACTATCAATCAAGACCGCTATAGTTACTATTGCTGTGCTTGTAAGTAATTTTTCAGTCATCTTTTTAGCTTAGTGATTGCATCATCCAAATATACACATTGATATGTATTTTTGTTTGGTCACATTTTAGGTTGGCTATGTTTGGTATGAATGTATCTACAAGCTGGACAAGACCAGTTACAACATGTATCACCCTTACACATCTTGGATTCCCATAACGTAATGCACATAGAAACTCTCTTTCGACTTTATATCCATCTCTTATTGTACTTGCCGAAACTAACCATTTGGTTTCTTGAATCCAGTGTTTACATATGTCTTCGGAATTTCACACACCAGCTTCGAAGCGTGTCATTGACTCTCTTCGCGTGAGTGAACTCAACTCGCACTTGCATCTCTAAGCGAAACCGCGGATATTCTTGCCTCCTCATTTTTACGTTTCTCTCTGTGTAGGTGGCTTGGCAAGATCACTTTAGAGACTTACATTTCCCAGTTTCATATATGGCTAAGGTTTGCTTTCCTCTTGTTCTTCCGCAAACTTAGTTCACACTCTTGTTTGGCCCTAACACACCAATATTTTTCAGATCAAACATGCCTGATGGGCAACCAAAATGGCTTCTTTCCATCATTCCTGGATACCCTATGCTCAACTTCATGCTCACAACCGCAATATACGTCCTTGTAAGAAACCTAAATAACTTCTCTCTCTCACCGTCTCTTTTCTGTTACCAAAACTTTCTGAAATATCTCTCTTCTTCTTCTTCTAAAGGTATCTCACCGTCTCTTTGAACTTACCAACACGCTCAAGACGGTTTTTGTACCTACAAAAGACAACAAACGTCTTTTATCAAACCTTATAGCTGGGATCGCCATTGCTCTTCCTCTGTATTTCTTCTCTTTTGTGCTTCTTCAGATTCACCGCTAAAACCGTGAGTCCCCACATTTACAAATCAATAATCTTATCCATGTTCGTGTTTATAAACTCTTGTCGAAATTTATCATTTACAGGTACAAAAAAGTGTTGTTCTTAGTGTTTCTTCATTGCAAAGCCGAGATCTAGCTTTGTGGGTCATTTTCTTGTGCAAAATCCAGCCTCAGAGTTCGTTGAACAAAGAGCCAAGACCTAGGATCTCAGAAAACACTGCTTTGCTCTATTGCCATCCGATGTGAAAGTAACTGTTTTCCATCTAAAATTTTCATTTCTTATATATAGTTTCTTTAGATTTTGTTTTGTAATCATTAAAGCAAACAATCTTGTGTGGTTTTTCCAAAAATGTATAGTGATGAGTTTTGATCCAATTGCAAATGTTTCTTATACATACATACATATAACTTCACACCTAGTACATAAATGGGTTGCTATTTTTCCATCTACATAAGGCACAAAAGCCACAGTTGCTCTGCAATATAGGTGAAACATCATCTTTCCAATGCTTACAATTCTCTGCAACTGAGTGCTCAGCTAACTTTGCTTAACTTCGAAAAGAATCTCAACAGTTGAAAATGGTTTTCAACTACCCCATTGTACATTGTCTTACATGGTTTTCAAGTACCCTGGATGATTTAGGTTTAGGATCTTATTGTCCACATTCTCAATTTTGGATCTTTGTGATCCACACTAGCACCATAAATCGTGCACTAGGAACATGTGCCAGTGGGTAAAGATCAGCCATGGAAAAAGTCTGAATAACTTCAAGTCATTGTTACTGAAAAAACATTTATAAAGGTGTTCTCTTTGATTTTCCTCAGCTAAGCAAAAATTAATTAAACATTAATCATGGATGGGGAATCAGTGAAGAATCGCAAGAGATGGCTCCACATCTTCGTTTATTCGTTCCTTGTTCTCTCCTGCCAAGCAGCAGCTACAATTCTCGGTAGATTATACTACGAAAACGGTGGAAAGAGCAAGTGGATGGGATCTTTAGTTCAACTTATCGGCTTCCCTGTTCTTGTTCTGTTTCGCTTCTCTTCTACCATCAGACAAGAACCTCAAACTACTACAAGAAATACAAGTTTCAGACAAAAGTCTTCCTTGACAACCATTGGACCAGTTTACATTGGCATTGGACTAGTCGTAGCAGCTATATATATGTTACCTTTCCTCATTCGGTTTGCTCTACTTACATGTTTCTACTTACTCTCTCATATGGGCTTCACAACTTGTTTTCACAGCTTTCTTCTCATACTTCCTCAACTCCCAAAAGTTCACTCCTTTCATACTGAACTCTCTGTTTCTCCTCACCATTTCATCTATCTTCCTTGTGTTCAACAATGAATCACAAACCACAACAGAAGTCTCTAAAAGCAAATACGCAATAGGCTTCCTATGTACAGTAGCTTCTTCTGCTGGCTCTGGACTGCTGCTATCTCTCATGCAGCTCATACTCCGCAAAGTTCTAAAGAAGAACACGTTTTCAGTAGTCACGGACATGGTTTTTCTACCAGTCTCTGGTGGCATGTGTGCTTCTGGTTGGGCTTTTTGCAAGCGGAGAGTGGAAAACTCTAACCGGTGAGATGAAAAGCTTCAAACTTGGAGAGGCTTCAAACTTGGAAAGGCTTCATACGCAGTGACTCTGGCTTTCACAGCTCTTACCTGGCAAGTCTACACAATTGGTGTTGTGGGTTTGGTTTTTGAGTCGTCTTCTGTGTTCACCAATGCTATAACCGCCGTGGGACTGCCTATTGTTCCGATACTAGCGGTGGTTGTGTTCCGTGATCAAATGGACGGCACAAAAGTCATCTCCATCGTTTTGGCTGTATGGGGCTTCGTCTCATTTGCTTATCAGCATTACCTCGATGACAAAAAGTTAAAAAACCTTGAGGCTGTTCCTGTTTCATCACTAGCAAAAGGCATAGAGATGGATGTGATTCACAATAACCTATGAGTATAAACCTAATGCATGTGTTTCATTAATATAAAGTTGGGTTGTGTCTTTGCCATAGAGCAAGTGTTTCTCCATTTTAGCTAAAAAACAAGATATTACAGAAACGTGCAATACAAGCAAGATGTTAAAGAGATTATTAGATTTTGTAGCAAATTCAATTCGGTTTGGTTTCTTTGGGGTTTTTAGATTTTCGGTTTAAAATATTAGATTGGACCGGTTATATTTAACCAGCCAAAGCAAAAACAAAATTGTTTTACAGAGGAATTTTCCGATTTCCATTCATTTCCTTGCTGCTAAGCTTCTCCATCACCACTAACTTCTGGAACTGAGATCGATTTTCCTCTGAGTTTCATGAGATGCGTAAGAATCTCATTCATATCGGGTCGATCTTCGGGTCTAGAGCTTGTGCAGAACAAGCAAAGCTTCAACAGATCTTCAATCGCCTCTTCCTGCTTCTTAGAAACGATGGAGTACCCGAGTTCCGAATCAACAACCCTAATTACCCCTTCTTCTTCTCCATCTCCGAGCGATTTCTCCACCAATTGACGCAGAGTCACGCCTTGTGATGATTCTTCATCGATCACCGATGTCGGTCTCTGTTTCGTCATCAGCTCCATCATTATAATCCCGAAGCTGAATACATCGGCTTTTGTCGTCACTTTCCTCATATAAGCAAACTCTGAATCATGGGAAACAAAAAGAGAGCGATTCAGGTAAAATCAATCGCAAAATTCGGATGAAATTGAGATTTTCCATACCTGGAGCTAAGTATCCGATTGTGCCTTCAAAGACTGAGGTAGAAGCAGTGATGCTTCCATCTTCGCGTAACCCTAGAATCCGAGCAGTCCCAAAATCGCTGACGTGAGCAACTCGATCGCCGTCGAGGAGTATATTCGCCGGCTTCAGATCGCAGTGAACGATCGGGAACCCAAATCCGGAGTGAAGATAATCGATTCCGCTCGCGATATCAACACAGAGATCGATTCTCTCGGAGAACGTTCCCGTTGATGCAGAGCCGTGAATCGCATCCTCCAAGCTTCCTTTCTCCATAAACGGAAGCACCAAGGCCTTCATTTTGCCGCTCTCCCAAGCAAACCCTAAGATCTTCACCAGGTTTCGATGCTTCAACTGGCTCAGCGTTTTGGCTTCTGTGTAGAACCATTTATCTGATTCCGCAGAGAATTGCTTCAGATTCAATACTTTTACTGCAATTATTGTTCCGTCTTCTAAATGGCCTTTGTACACTGTGCTTAAGCTGCTTGATCCAATAATGTTGGCGTTGTTGAATGAATCTGTTGCTAGCTCCAGCTCCTTTGGGTCGAATCTCTTCAGCTTCAGAGCTGAATCCAAATCCGGCAATGGAGACTCTGGTGATTTTTCAATCTTTTTCCCCTTTTTCTTGCAACAGATGAGAATCAGAGCAAGAAGCAGTACGAGAAGAAGAACCGCGGCTGATCCAAGAATGATTGCAGTTCTCTTTGAGAAGTGGCTCGACCTCTTCTTGATCATACATGGCTTGAGAGGCTTCTTGCTTCCACAGAGATCTGTGTTCCCCATCAGATCAGTCGCGTCCATGTTTTTGAACACACCGGTTTCGGGAAGATGGCCTTTGAGGTGGTTTGAAGCAAGTTTGAGATGTTTCAGCGTGGAGAGATTAGCGAGGCTCTCTGGAATTTCGCCTGTGAGATTGTTACCAGAGAGATCCAGAGAGACTAATTGCGTCATGTTCCCGAAGCTCTCGGGGATTCCACCAGAGAGACTGTTCCTTGAAAGGTTCAAGCTTCTGATCATATCCATGCCTCTTTGTTCGAAGACTTCATCTGGGATCTGACCGGAGAGATTGTTCCGCGAGAAATCCAGAGAGAAGACGTTTTTGCAGGCCTTTAAAGAACTTGGAATGGAACCAGAAAAGAGATTGTTCGAAAAGTCGATTTCTTGAACCATTTCAAGCTTTCCAAGCTCATTTGGGATGGTTCCAGTCAAGAAATTGTTCGAGAAGTTGAGGTTGAGCTGCAAGTTCCTCATCGAAGATATCAGCTCTTCAGGGATGGTTCCGGTGAGAAGATTGTCTGAGATATCGAATGTGTTGAGATGCGAAAGTGACTTAAGGCTTGCAGGGATAGATCCGTTGAACTTGTTTCCTTGAAGACTCAGATAGATAAGCGATTCGAGCTTCGCGAAGGAGACAGGAATCGGACCAGAGAATCTGTTGTTGGATAGCTCGAGCAGTGACAGTAGCTTCATATCAAACATTTCTTCAGGGATCGGACCTTGGAGATCATTTGTATGCAGCACAAGCCCCTGGAGGAGAGTGAGATTCGACACCTCCCTTGGGATTCTTCCTCTGAAATGATTAGCTTGAAGGAACAAGATATTCAGCTCTCTCAGGTTCCCAATCTCTCCAGGGATCTTCCCAGTGAGAGAGTTGAAAGAAAGTTGCAAGATCCTGAGTTTCTCAAGCTTCCCAATTAACGGCTTGAGAGTTCCTGTTAAGTTGTTCTCTGCCAAATTAAGAACTTCCACGTTTGAACAGTTGAAGATCTCATCTGGAATTTCTCCGGTAAACCGATTAGGTCCAAGAGAAATAAACGTAAGATTCAGACGTCCCAAACCCCTCGGAATCTCACCGGTCATCTGGTTATGAGACAGGTCCAGGACTTTAAGACCAGTGCAGTTACTTATGCTGGAAGGTATTGGTCCGGTAAGAAGATTGTCGTGCGCAGAAAGGTTCCGGAGATTTGTAAGTAGGCCTAGATCCGCTGGGAGCTCACCGGAGATATTATTGAATCCCATCGTTATTACTGTCAAGTTCCTCAAGTTGGTGATGGACTGTGGAAACGCTCCTGTTAAGTTGTTGGAATGAAGCGTGAGGACTTTAAGCGACTTGAGCAAACCAATCTCTTCCGGTATTGGTCCAACCAACTGGTTCTCCGATAATCCCAAATTGGTTAACCGGGTCAACCGAAATAACGAGGATGGAATTGAGGAATTCAGTTTGTTCCCGTATAACCGGAGTGCCTCCAGCTGAACCAAATTCCCTAATTCAGCCGGTATTTTTCCGGTTAAGTGGTTACGGTACAGCTCAATTTCGATCAAGCTCGTGCAGTTTCCGATCTCAGCCGGTATTTCTCCTTCCAACAAGTTACCCTCCAAAGCAAGAGCTTGTAAGTTAGAGAGATTTCCTATCTCTCTCGGTATTTTACCGGTCAACTGGTTACCGCTCAGGTCTAAATCCGTCAGATTAACCAAAGTACCAGTTGATGCTGGAATCGAACCAGTGAACCGGTTTAAGTCTGCCATAAAAATCTGGAGATGAACCAAATTTCCTAGGCATTCAGGTATTTTTCCGGTTAAGTTGTTGTTTGCAAGTCCTACTAATTCCAAAGAACTAGTTTTGCAGATTGCTTCAACATCACCGGTCAACAAATTATCTCTTAGATCAAGATACACAATATTCTTAAGCTCCCAAATCTCAGATGGAATCAAACCAGAGAAATGGTTTAAGTAGAGAATGAGCTGGTTAAGCTCGGTCAATTTCCCGATTTCAGCCGGTATTTCGCCGGTAAAATTATTTGAAGTGAGATCAAGAACCTGGAGGTAGGTTAGATTCGAGATGACTGGAGAAAGAACACCTTGAAGTTGCTTCTCCAGCAAGGAAATCGAGACAACATGGCCGGTAAGGTCACAGGTGATTCCGGTCCAATTGCAGTGTTGTACCGAACCGGTACTGGTCCAATCCGATAACACCTCTAAAGGGTCGCTGGAGATGCCATTTTTGAAGGATCTTAAAGCTTCAATCTCTGGTTCTAAGCTCTGTTTGGCATGTGAAAAGGCAGAGAAGAACAAGATGAGAGTGAAGACCAAAATGGTCTTTGAGAGTGACGTCATGATTTAGATGAATTGAAATTGGTGAGAAAATGTTATGAGAGAATTATCTTTATACTCGTATGTTATATCATTATGTGTGCAAGAAGATATAGAATTGAGGGATCATGTCACGGATGTGAAAACGGCCAAGACGCAATAGCATATTTCATATTTCAAATAAATGATAATTCGGTCAAGTTGCATATAAAGTCACTAAATGCATTCCCACTCGTACACATGCTTAAAATGTACCCATGTTTGTATTATATATCATATTCATTCAATCCCACTATATATACATCCATATCTCTAACTTATGTAGTCTCTTTGAAAAGAAATTTGAGTTTGGCAACTGTCAATTGTCGATTGGAAAAAGAAAACCTTTTTGGTCAAACAGTAGCATCATTGAAACTGAAAGCATTGTGCTCTACATAGTATTTGATTATTAAGTATTTTAATAACCAAACAATCATCATCTGTTTTCTTTTTTCTTTCTTTATGGAAATATATGTAATCGGTTTTACGTCTATTTATTTGATTTAACTTATTAACACGTCTTTTTCTGACTAGAAGAATCAAAGCCTAATTAATTGCCGTCTAAGTGATATTTCATATACAAGTTGTGTTTCGAATCTAATCGGTCAAACATTTTAATTTGAAAAGAGATTATAAAACTCTTCTGTCAAAAGAAATACTAATCTTACTTATGATTTTTGTTTTCTTTTATCATTCACTGAACTGAACTAAACGAGCTTCCACATTTTGTTGGTTACATTCGACAAGAGAAAATAAAATAAACCGCAAATTACAGATTAATCATATTACACTATGTTTTAAAATGTTGAAATCAATTGTGGACTCGTATGGAATCATCCATACTATGCTATGTATAATATAGCAGATTTGGACAACCTGTATCCGGATACTATGCTTACAAGACCCGTTGACACATTTAAAAGTTATATTTAAAATTATCCGAATACTAAATGCTAATGCTTACTTGACCCGTTTAGCAATAAATATTTAAATATAAGAAAATCACAAAATATTGACAACTGTGGGATTTGAACCCACGCCCTTTCGGACCAGAGCCTGATTCTGGCGCCTTAGACCACTCGGCCAAACTGTCACGTTGTAATAATTGTCATCTTCACTTTATATATACGTTACTCAAAATGGAATTGGTCCTATTATACATCTCTTTGAGCAGAACTCATCTTCTTCGTGTCAAAGTGCTAGTATTCAGGTATGATGTACTTGTTTTCGACAACGACACGGATAAGATTTATTTATTTAGCTTGTAAATAAAACATATTCTGTTTAACGGCATGGGAATAAAAAAATTAATATAAGAGAACCTTTCATGAATAGTAAAAGCTAACTAGTAGTAGAGGACCTGCGCAAACATGCGGTATAACAATTTTGCGGTTTTGTGAAGAACATCTAAATCCTAAACCCGAGTCCGACCCAAAAATCATAATCAAAATTTAAAAAAACCCAAACATTTTTAATATGTCTAAACCCGAAAATCCGAAATCCAAAAAATCCTGAAAACACCAAACCGAAAAAAAAACTCGAAAGTTTTCACCCGAAACTTGAACCCGACCTAAAAACCCTAATAAAAATTTTAAAATACCCAAACTTTTTTAATATGTCTGAACCCGAAAACCCGAAATCAAAAAAATCCTAAAATCCTGAACAAAACCCAAAAAAAACTCGAACCCAAACCAAACAGAAATTTTCAAAAAAGCCCGAACAGAAATCCACAATTTGATTAATTAGACGTATTTCTATTTCACTATTAGAAATTTTGCAAATATCATTCGATCATATTCTATTGATTTGGTATTATCGAGAGATTATATTAATTTTCTTTTTTTGCAGATTTTTTAAGAGCTGAAAACGGAAGTTTTCTAAACTATCGGTTTGTTTTAAGTTATTATTCTTGTATCCAAACAAATTTTACAATTTATTCTTCTATCTAAATATAATTTTCTCTTATTTTTGTATCTAAACATTAGAATCTACTTCTCAATTAATAATATAAAAATATTTGTTGAGCTCATACATATACCCAAGCCCAAAACCACAACTTTTAATTTGTTGGAGTTTCTTCGTTTGTAGTTGAAGCCAATCGAAACAGATGAAGTTGAAGAGTCTTTAAGCGAGCTTTGCAAGAGCATAGCTCCACCAGTCGAAAAGATAGTAATAGCAGTTACGAGAGCATAGCTCCACTGAAACACTCATGTAAGCCTAAGTAACAAGTAACAACCTCTTTCCTCTTTAAATATACCAAAAAGAATTTGCAAAGAGACCTTTAAACCCAACTCCACTTTACTACCAAAGGAGACAGAAGATTTTATGGGAGAAATCACCTGACATATGACATGTCGCCCCCCCATAAGATAATTAAATTTGCTTGAGAACATTGCATTGAACTTCTATAGCCTTGCACAAGAATATAACATTGGATCACCTTATCCGAATACTAAATGCTAATTTGCTAATGCTTACAGCTTACTTGATCTTAGCTTGGCCCGTTTAGCAATAATATTTAAAAATAAGAAAATAAAATGACAGCTGTGGGATTTGAAACCACGCCCTTTCGGACCAGAGCCTGATTCTGGCGCCTTAGACCACTCGGCCAAACTGTCACATTGTACCTGGTGTCAACTTTATTATAGTATAGCTTATTATAAGTCCTCTACGTGAATTATCTCCAAGTTCGACTTAAAGTCATAGTTTCTTTCTTCATCTTTTAGCTTCTTTAGGATTCAGTCATGTATTAGAGTTTGTATTAAGTTTCGAAGTTGTTTTGATTCGATCTGTATAATACTAGACCGAATAAAATGGCGTGAGTTCTGTCACGGAAGTTCTTCTTTATCTCCTTGAGAAAGAAACCGATCATACCACCCATACAATCTACCTTCAGCTTGTCTTTGATATGGTTTAGCATTTGAGCTTTGAGCCACTGAAACACTCATGTAAGCTTAGGTAACAAACAACCAACTCTTTCCTCTTTAAATATACTAAAACATTTTGCAAAGAGACCTTTAAACCCAATTCCACTTTACTACCAAAGGAGATAGAAGATTTGATGGGGTTAATCACCTGTCATGTCGCCTTCCCATAAGAATAAAATTTCCTTGAGAACATTGCATTGAACTTCTATAGCCTTACACATGAAAAGGCTGTCATCCGCAACGAGCAAGTGGTGGATAGATGTACAATATTTAGAAAACTGAGTTCCATTTGAAGCTCATGATGCATGCTCTTTCAGCTCGGTTTAGAAGATAGGTAAGCCCTTGAGTGCTTAAAATAAATAGCAATAGAGAAAGAGGATCACCTTGTATTGGACTACGATTAGGAATGATCAGGCCGTGAGGTTGATCATCGATCAGCACTGAATAAGAAACTGTTGAAACTCAGAACATTATCCAACTAATCCAACGCTGATGAAAGCTGAGAGCTACCAATATTGCTTCCAAATAATTCCACTCTATCCTATCGTAAGACTTTTGACTTGTTAGATTTGATTGCCATAAACTCTTTAGATAACTGAGGATTTGATGAATGGAAATCAAACCATGAAAAATCTTGTGAGCTATTAAAATATTATAAAAAGTTGGAATAATCTCGGTATTCTTCTGGGCACAATTAAGTTGGAATATAAAAAGCTTTAGAAATTTAGCTGAGGTGGAATTTTTGCAATATCATATGAGATCATTTTTTTCCGAGACAAAAGCAGACTGGTTTGGAGAAACTAAAGGAAGCCATAAACGGTTTTAGTCTTCTAATCAAAATCGTATAGATGATCTTGTACAAAAGCACAATGTTCCAATGTTCAGGATACAGTTGCAACTATTCTGTTTCTTACAATCCAAGAACATAATTTAATGAACGCATGAAAGCAGTGTGTACTCTCAGAGAAGAGAACAACAACAAAATAAGGAAAAAAAGGGTAGAGGTTTTGATGTCTTGTCCAGTGAGAGGCTCATTCTTATCGCTTTCTCGTGGAAGAATTTGTGGAATTTGTTCATGAGTTTGCACATTTTGTAAAAGTAGCATTCCTACAGAGTGCATCACGGATCAAAGAAGAGTTGGAACAATATACATCAACATGACAACATTACGTTGAAGTCTCGGTCTACAATCGCAAGACGAATTGTTTATGATAAGCTATCATGATAACAATTACAAAGTTGAGTGACTGTAAGCTAGAACTCTTAATAACTGTTTATAATCATAAAGTGTTGTGATACTTTCTGCAGAAGTGTGTGATTAGTCGAGCGATGAATTAGTAAGGAAGCAAACAATCAGTCGTGCAACTGCAAAACTAACAATATCATGCGATTGCTAAAATGTTACTGCAGTCGCAATTGCATGCAAACAATCATGCATGGGACGTCCAAAGAGAATCAAAGAGAGTCGAAACAAATTATAAGAAAAGACTTGCTGATTTATTATGAGAATCCTACATAGTTCGAAAATAAAGATAAACGATATGACATCGTTTCATTATTACAACAAAACCCATATTAGTTCTTCAATAAAAACTTTGAAGGAGTAAATAAATACTAGTACTTCCCCTTTCCCTCGTGAGCCTGATTCTTCACAACAGATTTCTTTAACATTTTGAGCATAGCGTTATGTAATTGACCCATAACCTTTTTTTTCTCAGCGTACTCGGTCATCTTCTCTTCCAATTCCTAAGATTTATAAGAATCTAATCTAATCAAAACTGAAGTATACATGAATTCTAAAGAAGCGAAAAATATATGAAGTTACCTTCTCATGCTCTGCATCTAATTCTGATCCTTCTTTGACACGAATTAGTTCAGCTTTAACCTCGAGAATCTCAGCCTCCGTAAGAACCATTTCTTGAATTGTTTTTGGTATAGAACAAAAGTGAAAGATTTATGTATAATTTCTCTCTGTTTTTTTTTTCTCTTCGTTCTTCTTAATGCATGATCCTCAATATATAGAGGCGGTATATTGTCAAGTGAGTAAAATACAACTACCATATATATTTAAAGAAAATTAAACAGCGTGTGGATGAACTTCAAGCTGTATTTTTTATTTTTAGAAATTTATTTTTTCTTAAAAAGAATATATAGCTTCCATATATTATTCCATGCGTCACATGGTAGATTTTATTTCTAAATACTAAAGAGCGTGATAAAATAAATTTATATACTAAGGCGCATGAATATGTTATATACTAAAGCACATGATATTTATGAAAACAAATTCTTTAAAATAATTTATATTTAAAAAAATAGATACAGAATATATATATATATATAACGGAAAAAAGTATTGAACTATGATTTTCAATTTTCATTTTAGCAACAATGATTTTCTCTCAAACAAAACAAAGTAAAAACAAAGTCAGAGAATCCAGTTTTTCACCATACGACTAATATTTACAGCCAGAGTGAATACAGCTGTTGTATATAAGGTTTCTAATGAATTCAAAATATAATTATTGATTAGAAAAATAGGAATGATTATAATTTCAATTTTCATTTTTCTTACAATAATTTTCTTTTTTAGAAAAAAACATGGGAATCCAATTTCTCACTATACATTTAGTATTTCAAGTGAAAGTGAGTATAAATGTTATGTAGCACGGTTTCTAGTGAATAAAACATAACTATTGACTAGAAAATGAGAATAGTTATCTAATTTCACGTTAGAGAATATTTTAAAAAAAACATTAAAACATGTGATAAATTAAAAGTGTATTTATAAAGACTAGAGAGCATGATAAAATAAATATATATATTATTACACATGAATCTTTTATATATTAAAAGTACATGATATTTTATGGAAAAGAATTTTAACAGAAAATATAATTTTATATCTATAACAGATGGAAAATTATGATAATTAAATATTTCAAATTGTCTAATTGTGTTTCAATTTTCATTTTAACCATAATGATTTTTTTTTGTTTTTTTAAATAGCTAAAGAAATCCAGTTTTTCACCATAGTCTAATATTTTTGGCTAGAGTAAGAACCAATGTTGTGTAGCACGGTTTCTACTGAATTTGAAACATAATTTTTGACTATAAAATGAGATTGATTATATAATTTTTATTTTCATTTTAGTCACAAAATTTGTCACGTAGATTCTTATGCCTAAAATATAAATTGGAATTAAAGGATGTTTTAACTATATGTTTGGTGATCTATACCTTTTTTTTTGTACTTTGGGGGATTAGTCTTTACATGAGCTTAAAATACAAATATACCCCAACTAATTAAAAACTATAAATTTTTATTTAAATATACATTTAATAAACAAAATATATAAAATTTAGGGTTTATTGTATGTGAAAAAGTTTTTACGTTCTTCTTTTTTGTTGATCTTTTTGTTGAGGTGTTAATCAAATAAGCTCAGAGCACCCTTTGCCCTAACTCAAGGTATTTTATTCTACTATTTTGAAGATTTTGCATTCATATTCAAACTTGTTTCATGAAACTGTTATTTTTCCCTTAATGATCGGTTTGAGAATGTTCGTTTCGTCTGATTTTCGCCTAACTCTGGCTCGTACGAACCTGCAAACTGGGACCGGTCGAACACTTCTTCCAGCAGAGAGAATGGAGGTACAGAGATTTCTTCCGAGACACTTCTTCCAGTAGATTCGAGTGAGTTTCGTCTTCTCCCATCAGTAGAAGATCCTAGCGAACAAGACTACCGCAAGTGGATGATGGATGCAGCAAAAAAGAACAACAACATGTTGCACCGGATTTGGGGTGCTCTTAATCGGATCAAGGTGATGAGATCTATGCGTACAGACATCCCAGAAGAGGAAGAGGAAGAGGAAGAGGAAGAGGAAGATGATGAGATGACTGAAGGAGAGGATAACTGGGACCGGTCGAACACTTCTTCCAGCAGAGAGAATGGAGGTACAGAGATTTCTTCCGAGACACTTCTTCCAGTAGATTCGAGTGAGTTTCGTCTTCTCCCATCAGTAGAAGATCCTAGCGAACAAGACTACCGCAAGTGGATGATGGATGCAGCAAAAAAGAACAACAACATGTTGCACCGGATTTGGGGTGCTCTTAATCGGATCAAGGTGATGAGATCTATGCGTACAGACATCCCAGAAGAGGAAGAGGAAGAGGAAGAGGAAGAGGAAGATGATGAGATGACTGAAGGAGAGGATGATGAGTTAGCGGAGGAGGCTGCACCGAGCGGAGATAGACGCCTGCCTAGGAGGAGACACAGTCCAGGTCAAAGTGGGAGCGTCAGCCCTAAAGAGCCTTAGTGTTTGATTATTTAACAGTTATTGGTTTTAAGTTGTTGCTCTATTATACTGGTGTTATGTTGCTCTATTAGACTGGTGTTATGTTTGTTTTCACTATGCCAAACAGGTTCGGAAAGACACGAATAAGTAACAAACTGACCGTTATATTCTCAATCCCACCGTTGATTATGAACTCCAATGTGTCAAAGTCTCGTATACCAAATATCAGCTCGATCGGACTTCATTTAAGCTTCCAAAAGGTCACTTCAAAACACTGCATCGAAACTGCTTTTTTGGAAATCTCAGCCTTGGATGATTTTGTGCTAATTTGTATTGCAATTTGCGGATGCGTTATAACTCCAAATGATGAAAAGTTATCTTCTGTGAATTCTACGAGATGTTATCTTTCCATAGACATCTCAAACGTGGTCAAACTCATTTTTCTCCGGCTGGAATCGTCTTCCAAAGTAGGCTTCGCACACACTGTTTTCCTGAGAAAATTGCAGGTTTCTCAGCAATTTCTTGGCCAGGAAGCAACGCTTGTAAAATGCACCTCCGGTGGGACTAGGGTTCCGACTTGACTTCTATGAACTCTTGGGTTGATTGAAAATATGACTAAACCGTCTGTGCATCAAATGGACATCTCGTGTGCTGACAGTAAGCTTCCAAAGTCACCTCATCAACACTGCTTTACTTTGTTTGCTCTCTTCTTCTTCTTCACTTATTTACCTCTGTTTTTCTCTGGTCTCTGCTTCTACCTGATCATTTACCTCTTCTCTTTAACGCCATGATCTAGATCTCCCGTGTCATATAATGTTCAATGCTTTAGCTTTTACACGCAAACCGATCGGTTTAGGGGTCAGACCGATCGGTGTAAAGACCGCAGAGAAAAAGTTTTATTAGAACGATCGATTCTTCGAGTAAATCGATCGTTTTTGATACGAGAACGAAAATCATAACCGACCCTGAGACAAAATTGTACGAACCGATCGGTTTCGCAAACAAAGCGATCGGTCTACGTTTTTCAAACGAATAGAGAAAAAATAACAGAAAGTGAGTTCAAATAACAGAAAGTGAGTTCAAACCACCAAAAATAGCAGGGAATAGAAGAGAAGTGCCAATGCACTAGTCTTGATACAAAAGAATAGCAATGACTTCAAATCAACAAAAAGAAAACCAAGTACTAAGATAACCAAACTCGAACTATGCCACATAAACAACATGTAGTTATATGGGTATATCACATGTAGCTCTGTTATGACCTTCATGACCACAACGGCTGCACTTGTGCCTGCGCTTCTGTCTTTTAGATCCTTGAGATCCTTGTGATGATCTAATCTTGTCTTCAAGTGAATCAAATCTTCTCTTCTTTCTTCTGCTAGATCTCCGCTTTGTCTTGGGTGGAAACACTTTTGCATCTTCAACATCTTTTGGGATACGCCATTCATCTTCAGGAACATATATAGGAAACAGTTGCTTACCAGCTGTGAAAAGGGAAGAGAATTTGAGCAGAAAAAAAGAGATGTTCAGTTCAAAAGAAACGTGATGAGAAGGAGGGAATGAGAAAAGAAGGAGATGACGATGGAGGAAATGGGAAAAGAATGGAGATATTTTGACAGATTTTTTGGAGATTTCGTTTCCTAATATTGATTTTCTTTTATTTTTAGAATCTAGTGACATAGAAGGTGCATTCTAGAGTTTTTAGAACATGTGTAATCTCTAGAATTTGCATTCTTAAAATCAAAGAAGACGCATTCTAAAAGTTTTAGAATATGTACAGACTTTAGAACACGGATTCTGAAAATTTTAGAAGGGAGAATACGCATTCTAAAAAGTTTAGAATATGTACAAATTTTAGAACATGCATTCTAAAACTTTTAGAATATGTTCAAACTTTAGAATTCATATTCTAAAACTTTTAGAACGTAGAATGCGCATTCTAAAATATTTAGAATATGTACAAATTTTAGAATATGCATTCTAGAGTATTTAGAATATGTTGAAACATTAGAATTCATTTTCTAAAAAATTTAGAACGTAGAATGCGGATTCTAAAAAATTTAGAACGATAAGTAAATATTTTTTTTTTCAATTTTTGTTGTTACACTTAAAATTATAAAAATGTTACTATGGTGTTTTCAGTTTTTTATATATTTTTTCACATTTCACTGAATTTTTAAAAAATGATTTGATTATTATAATAATTTAGATAAGGCTAATTTAGTCAAAAAATGAACAAAATACTAAAAGGTGTAGATTACCAAACATAGATATGAAACATCCTTTAAATCCAATTTTCCCGTCAATTTACTCGATAGTAATTTGCTTTAACTTTAATACGTCATCGTGTTACTCATTAACTTTGACTCTTTTTTTTTTTTTTTTTTTTTTGGTAATGCTCATTAACTTGACTCTATGGAAATATAAAGATTCTCTACCGTTGATTAAATTTATGTTATCTATCCGATAATGACCAAAATTTATAGTAACAAACTAGTAGACAAGTTTTTATACCGCATAAGTTTGAAACTGTATCCAAACCAAACCTGAGTCTTTTTTTTTTTTTTTTTTTTTTGTTGACAGCCTCTACTTCTATTCTAGACCAATTTGGGAATCTAAGTGGGAGAAACAGAGTTTACATAATACACATCGGTAGGTAGAACTCTAGCACTCCGTGCTAACTTGTCCACCTTCGTGTTTTTCGTCCTTGAAATATGCACTATGGAAAAGGAGATGAACTCCGTTTTACATCTGCAAAGTTCCTCTAATATTATTGCGAAAGCGGATCACTCCTCTGGTTTAGACACCATCTTTACCACATCAGAACAGTCCATTTCGAATACTATTGTTAACTTATTCTGTCGTAGCATGCATTGCATGGCCCATACCAACGCTTCTAGTTCTGCTTGGAGTAGTGATATACCCCGCCTTAAGTTACACGTACCCATGAGTTTTTCGCCCATTTCTATATTGAAATTATACTAACCTAAATCCGCTCGAGGATCTGTAACTTTCCATGATCCATCAATCTGACAAATTTCACCCTTGAAAGATAACTCAACCGAAGTCCCCACCAAGAGCGGTGTTATCTTTTGTTTTTCATGTGCTGTCTGCCACGCTACCGCCTTACTTACCATGTGGTTAATAATATTATTAGGTTCTGAATCATCGTTGGAGAAGACCATGCCGTTCTACCAAACTTGAGTCTTGTGTAATAAAAGGTTTATTCAATTTTAATATATTAAATTTTACATTTTGAGCAAATCCAAAATGAACAGAACGACACCAAAATCATTACTTCAAAAATATATTAATCGTAAGAAATAGGATAATCATTTGATATATATATATATATATATATATATATATATATATATATAATATTATTCATCTAAATATAGCAAAACAGATAATGACATATCCAAGAAAATTCTTAGAAAATATTCGAAGGAAACAGACTGCTCCCACGTCAGGACACCTACGTTGATCATTGGAAAACTGAAAACGCGCTTCCAGAATAACGACTTTTAATTACCAAAATACCCTCGTCTTGGACCTGTATAAAAAACTCAACACTTTCGTCTCCGAAGAATAAAACACACACGTGAAACAAAAACGTAACCCTGATTCTTATCTTTGTTCGATTGATCGATTTTGATGAAGCTTCTAGAGTTAAAGATGATGAAGAAAGGGAGATTTTCGTCATGGAAGACGACCAAAGAAAGGACGAGATTGAAATTTTTGGGACTATCGGGGCTAAAGTGGAAGAGATTGAATCTGAAGATGTCGTTTTTCGAAAGTTTGAGATTCAGAATTCTGTCTATCATCGAAGGAATGGTTTTGGTCTCTAGGCTTGCTTTCTTCTTCCTCTGTTGCGGTTGCAGATTTTAACGACACGCAAGTTTTTCTTTTTTGCGTCAGCTCTGTATTTTATTTTTTGCTTTTCTTATTATTATTCTTAGTTAATTCTGTAAAATCCGATTTATTTTATTTTCAAATGTAAATGAAAATGAAATTTTCTCATTCGTTTCTGCTTTTTACGAATTTTGCGCTGTTTAGGTAGTATTAATGACGCAAAACTGCAAAATAATCATCAAACTAGATTTTGACCCGTGCTGTCACGGGTTATTGAAACTATTATTGGGCTAACAAAAAAAAAAAATCTTGATTATTGATATTTTAGGCTGATTCTTTGATTTGTAGATAGGTCGGATTCAAAAATGAATGGGCCTGATGGTTTTAGATGTCTCCTTAAGTAAAGTGACATCGTTTTGTTATTTACTCATACTTGCAAATAAAAATTTCGAATTTGGGAGCCGTTTACCAACCGAACCCTAAATCGTTAATCGATTAATTTTCTCGTTCTCAATCAAATTCTATATCCTCTTTTCTCTTCTTCTGTTGTAACGACGGAACCTGGTCGAATCGCGGATTGATATTGCTCCTAAATGAGTCAAAGGTCATGAATTTACAATTTCGAGTCGTGGACGTGAGAACTCGAAGTGAATTTCGAGGAGTTTATTCAGGTATATGTGTTTGTATTCTGCTTTAGTAGATGTGAATTTGATGTATAGTTTAATTGACTTTGATGTGTGTTTGTTTGTTGTATGTTGGAGTTGGTGATTATCCTTCTCCATCCGTTTATACCAGAAATCGACATTGACCCAAGTAAATCGTTGGAAGACATTAAGGTAAATTGAATCATCTCTAATTATTGAAGTCGAAATCTCAAAGATCTTACATAACGAAGCATACAATTAAGTAGCTGAAACAAAAGAAAACGATAGGCTGGAGAAATTATTTTTGAAAACACTCACACAAACGGGAACAGAGTATTTGATTAGATAATGATTCAGAGCACTGTTTCTCGTCGAAGTGAACCTTGTGTTCATGGAGACAGATTTTCTATTATCTCAACCGAAGAACCATCACTGTCATGAAAACTGCAAATGATATTTACATTTCAGTTTAAGTTATATTACTTACCAAAAAAGAGATTCACGCATATATCTTTCAATAAACATGTCAAATAATCTGTCACTTACTATGCTGAGCTGAAATCATATACGTCCTGGTAAGGAGCATTGAACTCAAACCTAGAGATACCTCCAGCATCCTTAATCTTGATCTCATTTGTTCCTGAAAATTGTAATTTAGTTGGTGTTTAGTTAAATCAATCCAGGTGTTATTGTCTGCAGTTTTAAATGTATCAAACTATTAAAAATAAGGTAATGGTACATACTTCGGTCCATGTAAACAACCCAGTCACTCATTGTGATGAATGTCTCGGTTGTACCATGCTTCCACCATTTGTCGTACAATTGGAAAGCCAATGCACCATAAGCTTTGCATTCCAAAACCTCTTCCCTAATTCCACATTACGTCCCAAAAAGTTGTTAGTCGGAAACATAATCAAATCATTATAATTCGGCACTGTAAAATGAACTAATTGAACGTAATCCGTTAAACTTACTCCAAATCTTTAATCGTGAATGTAACTCTGTTTGTTTTCTTGTCATTAGAGAGCGTAAAGCTTTGATCTGTCACAACAGTTAACTCACCAACGTTTTCTAGGTAGCCTATGAGATCTACGAAAATTACCAAGCATAATTTAAGACAACAATTCAATCCACAAATAACTGCATATATAATTGATATGTAAGAAAGTTTATGTGCATATAAATACATTTTTGTTGACATACCTATTGGATAGTGTGAGCTATAGACTCCATTCATGACATCATTGTATCTCTTGAAGTCATGTAGTGGTCTCTGAAAACACCATAACCATTGTGCAGGTCTGTTTCGCCGGTCAAGATGATGGTTTGTTCATTAACAGCGAATCGGAAACCAGGTGGTGAAAACTCCACATTAAAGCCAGTTATGATTTTCCATTTGTTCTCATGCATAACATCGTCGAAATGTGCATATAGATTTGTCCCTGGACCTACAATTGCAGGTATTTTACCACCCTGAAAAGAAAAAAAAAATGTTATAGACAATGAATCTGATATTTCTTATTATATTACATGCCTGAATCGTATCATAACATTCATAATTAGCGATATAGAAACTTACATAATCATCTACTAACAGAAACCGTAAGATGTCACCACCTCCATCAACCATTTCGCTCCACTTTTTCAGAACCATAACCCTTATTGTCCAATCATTACGGTGAGGAGTAAGTTCGGAGATCTTTGAGATAGTGGCCATCTTTGAAACTATTTGATGAGGCTGCGTTTATACATAATATGTTATGTGTGGTTATTTATAGGAAGAGAGTTAGGTCATAGTCAATTCCTTGTCCGTCAATGGTAATATAATATTCTCGATGGGAAAGACAATATTTTCAAAATCTAATTCGATATTCACTGCTTTTTTGACCGTTTGGTATAATCCTTTGAATGAGTAGTAACTTGTTCTCTGTTTCCAAGATAAATAAGAGATGCCCATTGACTGTATATGTTTTGCAGGCAGCTTTTGTTCTGTTCCTAGAGGTGACAAAAGCTCTCCATGTAAGAGAAGTCTTTTCACCGAAAATTCAGCCTATTGCTATATAAGTCACGGTAAACACAGCTTGTTTATTGGCTTTATCATTATTTATGTGTATATTTATGTGTATATTTATGGTAAATATATCGATATAGCTGTCACATTGTAGTGTAATTTTTTCTTCTGGAACTATATTTCACATTTTGGAATCAAGCTTTATTTGATATAATTTTTCTGGAAAGTGTTTAACGGTCTACTTTAAATGCCATAAACTCGTTAAGGCACTAACAAACCCATCGGAGGATAACAGATAAATATACCTCGGCAGCACATAATTTGTGAGCAAAAAAAAAGTTTGTAGTTTGAAGTTTTAATCTACTGAGGAAATATTTGAAAGAAAAACAACTAAAGATTCTAAAAAACCTCTTTGGAAACTACATTCATTGTCTTCTTCTTGGGCTTCCCATCCTTGTCAACAATCAAAATCTTCAAACCTTTCTTTGATGTCACCCTAGAGATTGCTACATAAAGCTGACCATGAAAGAATACAGGTCTTGGTAAATAAATACCAACTTCGGACAGAGATTGGCCTTGGCTCTTGTTTATGGTTATGGCAAAAGCAACGGCAAGTGGCAACTGTCTTCTCCTCATTTTGAACGGGAGTTTATCATCCGATGGTGTTATTAAAAGCCTTGGTATAAGAACTATCTCTCCTGTCTTCTCTCCAGTTATGACCTTTGCTTCAATCATAAAATCTGCTAGCTGTGTAATCTGCAACCTAGTTCCATTCATTAATCCTCCTATAGGATCAATATTTCTAAGCAACATCACTGGACAGCCAATCTTCAACCTCAAACTGTGGTTAGGTAAGCCAGATGCTCCTTATACTGTTCAGAAATTCAGTGCTCAGAGCTTCGTCATTAACAGATCCTACGTCGTAAGGGTCAATACTATCAGAACTTAGATATATCCTTTCCTCTCCTGAAACGAAGTAGAAAATTATTATATTGTACAGACCATGTTATTATGTACCGAGTCATATCTTATCTCGCATTCTATTTTCTATAAATAATTAAAACTAACCATTCAATTTGTCTAGCATATGTTGATTGATTATGTCAACATCCTCGTTTGTGGGACACAAAAGAGCTCTTCCTTGAAAGAATATTTTGGTCTTTGATCTGCTGTAGAGAAGAAGCATCCCCATAGATTTTCCGACTAATAGATTCGATAGGCTCCTCTTGGTCAGTGATAAGGAACTCATCAGGTATATCTATTTCTGCCTCACCATCGTTAGGTTCGTTAATTTTGCCATCGCCGACATCAAGAATCCACTCTGAGAATTCCTTAATATCAGTTGCTTCTTCTTCACTCAACAACCCGGAGAGCAAACGCATATTCTTGGTCAGTTTCAAAACTTTACAGTGTTTCCACAGATAAGATGAGTTAAGTGAGGACAATACGATCTCAGCTCTATCACATGAAGTACCTGCCTGAAGTCTCCTCCAAAAACAATAACTTTTCCTCCAAACGGCTTTCCATTTGTATTACGCATGATATCAGCTAGACTTCGATCCAAAGACTCAAAACAATGCCTACTCATCATTGGAGCTTCATCCCATATAATAAGTTCTGCTTCCTTTACTAAGTTTTCAAGATCACAACCTTTCTTCATAGTACATGTCCTTAATATCAGATGCTTCTTCTTCACTCAACAACCCGGAGAGCAAACGCATATTCTTGGTCAGTTTCAAAACTTTACAGTGTTTCCACAGATAAGATGAGTTAAGTGAGGACAATACGATCTCAGCTCTTCCGGCTCCAGGAATCACATGAAGTACCTGCCTGAAGTCTGCTCCAAAAACAATAAATTTTCCTCCAAACGGCTTTCCATTTGTATTACGCATGATATCAGCTAGACTTCGATCCAAAGACTCAAAACAATGCCTACTCATCATTGGAGCTTCATCCCATATAATAAGTTCTGCTTCCTTTACTAAGTTTTCAAGATCACAACCTTTCTTCATAGTACATGTCGTAAACTCATAAGGATTTATAGGTATACCAAACCTCGAATGAGCCGTCCTGCCCCCATGTAACAACAGAGATGCTATTCCACTTGAGGCAACATTCAAGACAATTTTACCTCTGTACCTGATTGCACTTGACAAAATCCTCCAGAGGAACGTCTTTCCAGTACCACCAAATCCATAAACCAAAAATACTCCTCCTTTTTTACCCAACACAGCACCGATAATATCATCGTATACTTTCCTCTATTCTAACGTGAGCTTCGGAAGATCTCTGTCGTGATCAGCTTTCAGTTGCTCTCGATTGTAGCTTGTTTCATCGACAACTAAAACATTGTCTGTATCTTGATTCATTCCTTTTGGCTTAGGCATCGTTGTGAACCTTTTGAAATCACCGCCATTCCTTTTAATAATCTTCACAATTTCCTGAAGGGCTAACTCTCTTTTATCCTCGTCGCTTAATATCAACGCTGCATACATAAATTTAAAGAATGGTTGTTCTCGTCAGAGCACAAATACGCTTTAAACAATTGGAATGCAGAGATGTAGGTAATACCTGGTCTGTTAAGATGCCGTCTTCTATTGAATTCAATGTCAGCTGAGAGCATCTCCCAAGTACTATTCCAAACAACCTCAGGAGAAGTAAGACTATCTGAACTAAGCATGATGACAAAAAGCTGTCGCAGATCTGCAGGAGTACACGTAAAGCTTCTCCTGACTATGTCATCTACATACTCTTGGTCATTCTCTAGTAAACCCCTAGCATAACAGGCATCTTTGTAAGACGGATACAAAACACCATTGTACGTCTTGATATCATTAAAGCTCTCCGGACCTTGGACTACACCCAACAATACTCGAAGATAATAGGCATCTTCAACCTTTCTTGGACCATAATTGATTCTTCCAATACAAAACCTTTGTTTCCTCTCTTTAAAATGTTTCTTGGATGAATCGTAGGTAAAGAAATTTGGGATCTGAACATAGGTTAGTGTCTTCGCCAACGCATTCACCTTGCATAGTTCAAACCAAGCTAGCATCATGGTATTGTGGATAAGCTTACGTGTGATGACCTTTTCCATTTTATCCTTGCCTTTGAAAAGTTATCAGCTGTTTTCCCTCTAGGTGGAATGTGAGTTTCTCAACACCTACGGATCTCCAATGTATGTTGTACTTGAAAATTCTCCAGACAGCTTCAAAAGCTCCGACAAATCTGTGTGGAACATCAAAAAGAAACGTCAAGATAAGAACAAAAAAAACATCAGAACCAACAGATAAACAAATATCATATTACCGGCAGTCAAAAAATTCTTTAATCTCGTTCTTCTTCTGAGCATTAGCATCTTTAACGGTATGTGCTCCATCCCTGTTAGCAGCATTTGGCGCTGCTACATTTGCTCTGCTTCCCTCGTTCACCGCAGCTACTTCTGGAGGCTCCACGGCCACAACTACTCGATCAGATCCTTTGTTTATTTACTTGAACAAATACTTAATAGAAGCCGACTGATTGCACCACTCCACATTGATATGAGCTTTGTATCTTATGGAAAGCACCTTATTGTATGGAATAACATATCTGTTATCGCATTTAAACCCATTCTTCTTTACAAATATGCCAGGCTGGTCACGTCTTCTGTAAACTGGATATCCTTCTCGGTTGACCGTAGTTCTTTCCGCATGACGTTTAGGAAATAACTTTGAACATTTACCATCCTCCATACACGGTGAATTGAGGTTAGCATGTCCGCAGGGTCCATGAATCATCATTTCTTTAACAACCTCATATAGGTCAGGCTCCTCTATCTTATCTGGTATCTCTGCTGATATGATCTTGTCAATGTCATCAGCTGTTGAAAACTTGCATTTTTGATCCATGAACAGCAGAATGTGTGCGTGTGGCAGACCTCTCTTTTGGAACTCAATGGTGTACATTGCTGCAATATCAGATCACAAAAAATATAAGTACACATAATAAATTACACTGGCATGTTCACCTTAAAGAATACTCTTTATTATGAGATACAATACTTACATGCTACGGTTTTACCCAAGGAGTTTATTGTCAATTAGGTCGCTCATCAAGCTCGTAAGTTTGGCTTCGTAAATCCTTGCAATAAGTTCTGGTCTATCAGTTGGACCAAGAGAAGTTCCCTCAAGCTCCCTTGTGAGTTCTGGCCACTTAGGATTGCATGTAAATGTAATGAAAAGATCTGGAAATCCAAAATGTCTGCATATGGCCATTGCATCGAAATACAACTCCCTCATATAGCGCGGTCCTCCTGTGAAAGTCGCTGGTAGGTAGAACTTATTACCTACTTCGTCCATGTCAACAACTCCTTTATCTTCAGACTGCTTGATAGAGTCGTAGGAGTCGGATCTTAAACTCGTCTGATTCATTTTCAAGTAAGATAATCTGTTTGACTCAATCATTGTGTAGATATCCACAAGATACTGCTGAAACAATCTTCTACAATGAAGAAGATGATTTGACTCGTTGTCTCTTTGCATTAGACGATATGCATGAAATTGCCTCATACTGATGTTCTCTTTTTTGGTCTTCTTTGACGCTTCAGAATCAGCTTTCTTGATTCCAAGCCTAAAACCATCTTCTCCATGTGCAAAAGGTATTGGATATTTCATTGGAATATAGCTAGGATGAATCTCGCTTATACGCTTGAGTTTTCCAGAATTTCTTTCTTGAAGAATAATATCGCGATTTGTTTCCATCTGCATATTGAAATCTCCTGGAATAATAGCAGCAACCTCAGAAGATGTTGGAGTGTTATAAACTCGTCCATCCGATTTTCGATCACTTACTATCCTCATGTGGAATCTTTCATCTGGATTCATACTAAAACTTTCTCTTGCAGTCCTAAAACTTTTTATGTAAGGGTTGACTTCGTCAGGGCATTGGTGATTGATGCAATGATTTCTTCCTCAGTTTGTTCTGCTTCGTTGTGGCTCCGGCATTTTTCGCCTTGCTGGGAAACGAATGACATTTTCTTGATTAACTTCCAAGTAAGATGCAAAATATACGTCAATCAACTCTTTTGCACTTTGATTGAAACGTATAGGGTTTAAGATTTACCTTAGGAAGGTGAGTCTGTTCTCCAACTCATTTTCCATGTCCACAATATACATCTGATAAAATTTTGGATCTTGACCAGGTTCCGGGACCATGCTCCCCATAAGGTGATAGTTTTCCCCATGAAGTTGGAACATCTGTGGCCCCTTTCCTTTTTTCACGGAACGGTCAAATTTTCCACCGAGTGAAGTCAGAGAGAAACTCATGTTGTAAGGCCTCATATTTTTTTGAAAATGTCTACTTAGAGGATCAGAATCATAAATAAGTTTCTTAATTGCTGCTGGAGGCTCCTTTAGCGGAGGGAGTTTAACCTGACCCTGGGAACAACACAAAGAAAATGTAGGATTCTTTGTTCTACGTTTTCTGTTAAGGCGTTCTCCATACCAGAATTTGGCATTACAATACTGACATTTATAGTTCATATCACCCTCGTCGTTGTATACTGAAAAAAGGAAATTGCTTCCATAGAAATGTAAACTCATTATCTTATAAAGATATAAATGGGAGACGATTGCTAAGAGAATCACGTACCAATTTTATCTTTCTCCTCTGTATTCGCTTTCTTCCTCTTCTTATATATGGCCGAGTTTGATCTATTATTGCTCCCCACGCCCTTTCTCCTAGAATTTGTTATGGGCGCAACTGCTTCTAAATTATCAGTCTCCACTGTTTTCGGACCATATGGACCATGATGGTGAACGGGTTCGTTAATTGTGATAACTTTAGGATTCTCTTCGTCATCAGTAGATTCTCCACTACTACATTCAAGGATATGTCGGATATCTCCTTCGTCGTATTCTGCAAAATAGATATGAGATCGCAGATGAAGCAAGAACATATATCATTGAAGTATCATATAGTTGGAATTATAAAAATATTAAATACCTTCTACAGGATATGAGACATCTTGCTGGTTTGTATTTTCTTCTTCCACAAATATATCATGAATGGGCGTCTCCATTGGGACTCCATTGTCAACAGAAGATGAGCGTGTTGTATAATTCAAGTTTGTGATATCTTGCAAAACATTGTCTACGCCCTTTGCAATTTTATCCGTTCTCTGTTTTTTTCCAGGGTCTCTTGTTTTAGGACCTCCAAAGAACAAATAACAACATTGTATTAAACTCTACCTCTTTTAATGTTTCGAATTATAATCATACATCATATGGATTACACTCCAAGTATATACTCCCATATTAAAAAAAATAAAAGCATTAGTGACATAAGAATACCTTTTTCTATCTGTTTTCTAATCCTCGTAGGAGTTGGAGTGTAATCCAAGCTTCTGGGAATTATTGGACTCTCTTGCTGATGCATTCTTTTTCGAACTCCAGCTTTCCTGGATATTGCTTGAGATAAAGGTGTTACGCATGACTCAGGACTCTGAAAGGTTGCAATGTTGGGATTACTGTTTTCTTTTACGGTGCTCATGTACTTCCGCTTAACGGAAGCCGAAGAATTGGGAGAACATAACGCTTGACCTGTATATTTCAGTTAGCATTATGATCAACGATAGATTTTTGAAAGAACATCTGGTTTTCTTTATATAACCTTTAGGCGTCTGTAATACATTCTTAGGCACCGCACTATTTTTCAATCTAGTGTCAAGTATTGGAGGAAGCAATGGATTATGCATAATCTTGCTTTTTCCAACAGCGGACCCCGTAATTGACGTTCGTGTCACGCAAGACTGTGGACTTAAAAATCGTTCTCCAGAGAGGCCTCCCTCATTGTTTCCTGAATTACTAAGTTTTCCTGCTTTAGCACCTCGTGAAATTCTTCTTTTACATCCTTTACAGAATCATAAATTAATCAAACATCAATTATTCAGTAACATAATATTTTCATACCAAATCAATAACCAATAATAATCGAAAACATATATTTGATGGTCATGAAGCAGTGTACTACATTGCCATAGCCTACTTGTTACCTTTAGGTGTCTCATACTGGTTTCCATTAGTTGGAATGGGTTCACTATGCAGATGGGATCTAGAAAGTGGTATATGACCAAGATGACCTAGGATTCTTGTGAAAACGGTGTCAAGGGTAATACATGATCGCGAACTTGACTCCCTTCCTGGTTTAGGAATGATTCGCTCTTCAACTGTATTTTGAATCTTTCGTTTCCTCGTACCCGAATCATTCATTGGAATTGTCTTCTCTTTAGCTATGCCTAAACTGAAACAAACATTGGTTCGCTTTCAGAGGTATGGAGATTGTAACTATTGGTTCTTCATTGCAAAGATGTGAATGTTTATTTGCGTCATTAACACAAACCTTTTATTTCTTAATTCGAAAATAAATGGAGATTACGTGAAATCGTTAGCAGATTTCGCGTAATTAGACAATCAATACTAAATCTACAACTAAATATAAATCTCTTGCAAAATATAAACAAACTCTCTCGCAAAACTTTAATTAAAATTTTGTAAAATTTCAATTATATAATAGGCGGGAAACTATCTTGACACGGGTTATGGATATTTGAAATACTCATTTGCATATTTTGTATAAATTGAAACTTACTTTTTATCCCTGATTATCTCATTTGTTCCATTATCTTTTATATATTTCCCACCAAGGGTTAAAATTATTTGAACTTTTCATCACGGGTCAAGTTGCCTCTTCGTACACGGAAACTCTATCGTTTTGAAAATTAGGTTTTAAATTTCTTGGTACATGTAAAGTTATAAACATTTCATGAGAAATGATCAAACTCATGTAAAAGTTTGGAGAGAAGCGAAACGAATATAAACTAAACAAATGAAACAAATATATATTAAGTTATGTTATCCGCTTACATAACATAATAACTTCTTCAATCAAAAGCAAAGAGAAGAGTTTAAGAAGATCTAGGAATAGAGATTAAGAAAATATCATTCTGCATGACAAAAGGAGGAAGAGTACTAAACGGAACAACGTTGATGCAATTCAGAGTCCTAAAATGAGACAGGATTTAACATATCCAAAAAACATGTCTTTCACAAATGATCAGCATATGACAGCAGAAGAGGATCCAGCGACTGAATTGTTGTCTTGTGGTTCTTCAACGTCAGGATGTAGAAATCTACACAGATTAAAGCAACGGAGTATCCAATGGTCAAGATTCATTAATTTTAGTAGTATTATTCACTCATTGATAAGTCAAAAGCAAATCATACCTATGGCGCATAACATCCCGTTCCTCGATCCATGGATTGATGAAAATCCTAGCTAACCCTCCTTCACCAGTGACCAGAACCTCCCCTACGTTTACATCACGGAAAATCAATGCAAGTTTCACGCTATATCAATAGAAATCAAATCATGAAATTTAAAAATCAGTGTAAGAAAGGCAACTCACCATTGTGAAATGTGACTCTCCATTCACTCAGGACGCAAATAACGGTATCGGCTTGAGTAAAGGATCTACGTTGGATGTTAAAATCCGGAGCCAATTGTCCGTAAGCAACACAGTAAATTTCCTGGTTCCTATAATAACCATATGTTCTAGAATTATGGATCCATGATTTGAAAATACTAACATATCATGAAAGAGGGATTCAAAGTTCAAATGTTACCGGTGATCCTTTAGATGGAACGGGATACATGTCTTTTCCTCATTGTCTAGTTCAGTTGGCTGAAGTTTGCCAATGTATCCAACTACTCCAGTCAGATCTGAGTAGATATTTGCATACATTAGTCATATTAAGCACACATGCCAAAATGTAAACACATTAATTTCAAAACTTTACCAATGGGATATGCAGCATCGACAACTCTGGTTATCACTTGATTGAAATCCGTGAAATCAAACATGTGACTATCCCTGAGTGAAGGAATAGGCCGTACTCCAGTTGGTCCATCTAGAGTGATCATATACTGGTGTCGCGCTAGCATGTGTGTTGGGTGATTCCAGTTCCGATCACTTACATGAACATTTGTGATTTCTCTCCATTCATCTTCTGGTAAATCTCTCTTGAAACGATGAAAGTACTGGTGGCTTACAGTTGCATGTATCTTTTTCCCCTGAATAGATTAAAAACGATTTTCTGAATTAGGTAAGACGAAACTGGATCTAGGGAAATATCATAAGACTGAACCATTGAACTTTGAATCATAAGAGGAATAATCTCGACTTTCAACTTACATATTTATCAGCAAGGATGAAATCCATCGCCGGATTTCCTTCGGAATCCTCTGTTTCTCTCCTTCTGTAAACTTTGACTCTTATGCTCGAGTTCTTCCATGGAAGGAGTTTATCAAGGCGACAAAACTCTGTCATGATGCAAGTGAATTGAAAGATCTCCAAATGATATAGAGAATGCAGTTTAAGGAGAAACAAAAGGTCGAGAGAAATTAAGAACAGAGAAACGGAACAGGATTTTTGTTCTGGAAATCTTGTAGACAAATAAATGTAGGGGCAGGCTCAATATATGAAAAACTGATTTTTCAATCACACCGTATCGTGCTACTCCCGAAGAAAATCTTAATTTTTTTATATATTTCAAATCCATTTGCGGCTTTTCCTCTTTCCTTTTAATATTGATTAATGTTTCTTACCATAGTAGAAAATTTTCCGTATCATTCGTGTTCAAGAATCTTCATTATTGTTTCCTATAGGTAGATATAAATTGATTTTCAGGATACAGTATAAGAAAAGAATCAATGATTGTTCCCTAACCCTATATTAGAGGTTTGATATAATTTTTATATTTAAATTATTAATTACTAATTCTTGACCAGATTTGAAAGTATTGATCACGTATACGCATTCCACTTCAGATATATTCTTGCCTATTTACATCTCATGTATTTATTTACATTGTTCTACGAATTATAAGCACGGGTATATTGTTGAGAAGTTTATTATAAGGTCCTTAAGTTATTAAAATGTACCTGGCCCAAACAATTCGAGAACTCAGGCCCATAATCGGATGTCGTTGTGAATCAATACAACACCTCAAAAAAATTATGCAAGTCATAAAATGAATTGTCTCATCACATCAAGTAATTTGGTATGATTGTAAATTCTCAAAAATAATTCCGCCTTAATGAGTGAAAGAATATGATTATTTTGGAATAGTAGAACAAAATAAACCAAACTGAAACTTGATTATTTTAAAAGAAGGGATTACTGAAACCAAAACAAATGTAGGTTACCAAAACAAAGATAACAAAGAATGCCAAAACCAAGCTGTAGAAACAAAAAAAGGAAAAAACCACAAAAACATAATTTAAAAAAAAAAACCCAAGTCCATTGATTCTCTGCACTATGCTTAATGCTCCAATCATCCATTGACCTTCTCATCGCCAGCTGGGAGCTCTACATCGTTTTCACCATTGATATCTTCCAAGTCGATGACCTTGTTACAATGTTTCTTTGAAGCAGAACCATTATCTGTCACGCCCTCAACTTCATCTTTCTGTCTTTTGGACGAAGGTGTTGCACCAGCTTCGGAATTCTCCAAGTAATTGCTCTTCACCGCTGAGGCCTAATAGCCAAAAAAATAAGAATAATTGTTACAAATGTTTGAAGGACTTGCGAACATAGTTTCAAAAGTTAATGTTAAATGTAAAACCTCATCAGTAGACACAATTTGTGAAACTGTATCAACTCTACTAATCACATCATGAGAGCTATCTTTCTTGACGATTCCTTCTCCAGTATGCACTTTGTGAACCTTGTAAGTATCATTACCGTAGCTAATGTGTTCCTTCTCCACACCAACCAAGAACTCAAAAGTCTTCCCGACCAAATTACGCAAGGAGTCCGGCATTTGGTCAGGGTCTTGAATCTAGTAGGTCAAGATTTGAATAGGAACATAAGATGATGTAATAGATATAGATTTATAAACTTATATAGATTGTTACCAAATACAACGTACCTCATCAAAGGAACCATTCAGAAGAAAAGCAGCGGACTTTGTAACTATGCTCTCCGCAATATTGTCAAGTAGCATAATCCTTGCTTCGCCAGTACCATCGTACACGTTCAGATGAAGCTTGAACCTGTCAACACAAACCCTCAATGCGTTAGCATGACAATGATCTCATACTTGCAATGACGAATCTATAAACATAATATCAAATACTTACTTCCCTGCAACCTTCTTAGTGTTTGTTTTACACTGTTGACACCACCAGATGGGGACTTTAGATTTAGGTTTTGTTGATGCTTCCTTTTTCAAGTCTTTGCTGACTCGGTGTTGGCAGGTACCACAACCAAAATAATACCAGCCAAAGTCAGTGTCAATTGAACCGACGACACACACAATCCTCTTCTGTTCGATCTACATAATCATATATAAACATGATTATTCGTTTCGTCATAATCACAAATATATAATTTGTTATAGGGACGACATTGACGAACATACCTGGTCGCAATCCAGAAGCTCAGACACGGAACAAATCGCATAGCTATGCCATTCCTCTTCCTTTTTCTCAAGTTGAACCTGTAAGTCGGTGGCATCTTCTTCCTTAATAACAATGGTGAGGCCATCAGCTGGTAACCTACATTTAATATATCCCACAAATGATTGAATATAAAGGAAATATAGTTATACTTTACGCAACCTAATCTAAAATTCGATGTATTGACTCAGAAAGTGAACATGGAGCAGAAACAAACCTCTCCCTAAAATCGTTTGCCTCTGGACAATCAGGATTTATCATAAGCTTAGAAGCATCAAACGCATTGGTTATTTGCAATTGGCCTACAGATAAGTATAACATTGATTTGTCATGTTTCATTTAATATGTGATTTGTTTAGATGAAAGTTGCGTTGACTTGCCTTGATAGTAGCAAATTTTGGCAAATCTGATCAAACAGATGACCGTCCCACCATTAGCCTGCTTGCATGCAGCGTAAAGGTCGTCGGCGAAGGTGGACCATAGACAACAATTTAACCTATGATCTCTGCATATTGTAAATAAGACGGTATTTAAAACAAAAAATCTTATTACAAAGAAATATAATATCGAAGAAATGGTGATAAAGTCAGCTAGTTAAGAATACATACTCTGCATCACGAAGAACAAATTCCAACTTCGTCTTTTCTTTACCTCATGCGTTCACTGTCTTCAGCTCCTGAACATCAAGTATCTGGCCCATGATATCTAAAAGTAAAGATAGTCAGGATACATATTCAACGTCATGTTTTGACAAATTAATTATCAAGTAAAGATAGTCAGGAAACTTACCAACCAAGTAATTATTATCATGGTCTCCACTGAAGATGTCCGTGTAATCTGTCAGCTCGATAAACAAATCATCACCTTGTGAACCACAGTTACTGATCACCGTGTTGATGGAGAAAGACATCTTGGAACGGTGCATTGTTGGACGATATTGACCGGAGACAGGGGTCAAAGAGAAATGCTCAATGGCTCTCCATTCACCAACAGGCAAATCCTTCCCTAAACGCCGTATGTCATTTTTCTGGCAAGTTGCATGTATCTTCGTACCCTGATAGTTGAACTTTAAGTCAAGTTTTTTTATATGAATATATTCTACAAAACGAAAGTGAAGATGAAAATCTAGTTTTACCTCCTCGTCGGCGAAAACATACTCCATCGTCTCCCCGGACATTCCAGTGAACTGCCTCCAAGAGTGGAGCACCTTCACCCGACTCTTCCAGGTCGTCTTGAAAGGCTTGATCACGGAGAGCTTGGTGAAAGAACTTCCGATAGTCATGATGAAGAGGTTTTTTTTGCTATGGAGGTTTGTGCTTTGGAATGAATATTTTGGGATGAAAGTGGTGATCTATATTTATAGTGAACATAGATAGCATCGGACTTTAGGGTTTCACAGTCTTGGACACGGAATATCTTCTATTGTAGATACGATACATTTAATTTTGAATATTAAATTATAGCAAGAGGATGATTCTCGAATAATATATCAACTAATACCGGAAAATCTTTCCATCAACTGTGATTTGTTAAATCTGTTTTAAACGTGGGGTATATTCGTATCTTAGAAGCATGGAAAGTATTCCGCTGCAAGGATTGTCGTCCACGCAACTCCACACAAAACGGAAGATTTCAAATGGCCGGTTTATTGCCTACGGTTCGTTTTTTATCGTTTTTGGATCCGCGTCCTTTTAAAATGGATCCGGGTCGGGTCGATTCCTAGTGGATTTTGTCACCTCAGTTTTTTTCCGAATTATCTCCCCAAAATCTCCCTGTTTATCCCTGTTTCCAAACACCCTTTCTTTGTTAATTGATTGGCCTTTTGGTAATTTACTCGTTTTAGCTCCGAAAATTTTCAGACTAGAATACCCTTTGTGACTCAGTTTTAATAGTATTGATATAAAATTGTTTAACTCTTCTGTGATCATTCATACAAAACATATCATAAATGTGAAAAACGCATACCCAAAAAGACATGATATAATAATATATAGTCCAGTATGGAGGAGAAACAAACTGAAGTACCAGATCAGAAAAGCAAACAGAAAAGTAACAAAACTTTTGTGGTAACAAATCATGGAACTCCTAAAAAAACCTAATACTCTATGTAATCCGAAAGACCATATGTTACTGTACTGTAACAGCTAATCTTATATTCTGGATTTACTTCAACCTTAATTTTCCTAGAAATTTTCCTTTTGAGATCGTGGAGGACAACATAAGAGTCATCAGAAATTTTATGTTTCTTTTTTTATTGTTTTTTTTTCCCTTTTTTTCTTTCTTTTTTCCTTTTTCGCTTCTTTTTATATTGTTATTTAAAACATAAAATTATTAAAATACATGAAAAAAAATATGAAACGGACACCTCATTATTCTCTAGCCGGAAACCGGTAGATTTATTAATTGTTTTGGCGGCGCAAACTAAAAAGCTAATTTGAAGGTTTAATGTGTGAAAATAATTAATTTGAAGGTTTAAAATGTGAGTGTAATACTCTTGAGGTTTAAAGTGCTAACTTTTGTCACTTTCAAAGTTTAAAATGCGATTTTCCCAATAATCGAGTATGGACTATGGAGGCATAAACTGAAGTCCCAGATCCCAAAAGCAAACAGAAAAGCCAAACAGGTGTTTTAATCAATGAAGTGATAATACAATCCGACAAAAGACATCAACGCAAATATTAAAAAATTATGGATAACAAATCATGAAATTCCTACAAAAACATAATACTCTCTGCGTAATCCGAAAGACCATATGCTATCCTATAATAACTCTTAAATTTCAACTCATAGTCTGGATTTACTTGTACCCTAATTTTTCTAGAACTATTCCTACTGAGATCGTGAAGGACAACATGAAAGTCATTAGAATAGGAAGGTACCAAAATAATTTCACCCATGCGTGTGGTGCCTGTTATGCATAAACTCTTATTTAGTTTGTCATCAACACTGAAACTTTTCTTCAACCATCCATGTTCTTCCATAACCCACACATCAAATGTGTTTATCCAAGTCGTTATCGGTATGGCTACTTTCCCCTCGTACTTTAGCAAAGTAAATGCATTTGCACCTTTAAGATAAGCCGGTAAATCAGTTAAAAGATCCAAATATTCAGACCTCAAGTCAAATCTCATTAAGCTCCCTTCCACTAATTCCTTCCCCGTTCAATAAGCCATTCACATAATTGAACGGTATGTTATGTGCTCATGATCACGTGTCAAGCGTGATAGAAAAGACGTTGATGAAAAAGACGAAGAGAAGAAGCACAAATCTTGGGGTCTGCTTCGACTACCGAAATCAACGATAGCGATTAGGATACAAGGATGTGAAGAAGAAGATAAAAACGGGAAAGATGTGATGAAATCTCGACTGCGGATGATCGTTGCACATAACTTTGATACTATGAGAAGCCTTGCTACAGATTTCGCAGGCAATCTTCGAATAATCTCGATCACTGAGTCAGGAGGGATATGGTCAAAGTTTTTTTTTATCTTCCGACGTTTGTAAACTGATGATGTTCGCTTTCTTGGTCTTTTTGCTGCGTGTTCTTCTCATGATCGATAGCTCCGAAACCCAAATTTTTGTCTAGTCTTTTGCATGTAAAACTAAAAATTTGGAGTTCATCGTGTATAAAAGGAGCAGGCCCGTAATGTAAACTAATGGCCTTTTACCAACTTACCCGATTATAAAAATGGATTTTACGGAACTGGGTCAGTGACTCATAGTAATTGATGATACGTTGAAATTTCAGGGGAGTGCCTAAACACTCGCCTACGGGCCTATGACATTTAGTTTGGAGACATTGAATTTTGTATTTATTTAGTTAAAGGTATTTAGTTTTGTATTAAATTTAGGATGTTATTATTTTTGAAAAATATTTCCACGTAAAGTGCTTTTGTTCGGTATTCCCCTAAAATGTTCACCACTATTATGTTTCTTCTAAAAAATAACTTATCTTTCTGTATTTATCATGTGTTTGTTTCTTTCACCCCCATTGATTTTCTTTTCTCTATTTTTTTTACCAACTTCAACTTTTTGGTCAAAAGCTTGCTTAAAAACATAGATTAGATTTTAATTTGCCTACGGGCCAAATAATCGTGGGAACGGCTCTGGTTGAAATGTGATAATTATTAAATCACGAATAGAAAAGTATACATGAACTCAGTGACTCAGTCATATGTTTATGAATGATCTGTTTCTCTTTATTTATAGTTTACAATTATTGGTGCCGTGAAAATTACCTTCATAAAAATGTTTCGCATGGCGGCATGGGTGTATTATTGTTTTAATCTTTTAAATTGAAGAATGCCCCCCACACTTGTCTCTTATTAATATTGAATGGTGACTTGTAAAAATGGGCCACAGCAAGTAGACCAAAACCCCTCTGCTTTACCTCTCCATAGACCCTTATATAGCTTGTCTTTGGCTCTTTGCTTGGCACATAATAATTCTGGAAGATCTTCCCTTTTCAAAAGAACAAGAGAGAGAGAAAGACTGTTGACAAAAATCCAGATTAAGAGAGACAGAGACAGAGACAGATGTTTGTGTCCATGAGAGATAGTAATAATGTGTAGACAGTTCTTTAATTTTATTTTGGCTCGACATCGTATGTCGACCTCTTTAGACTTCAATTGGTTTAAACTTCTATGTCACTCTCAAAGTGTATATCACTCATAATAACACACAAGTTATAAAAAAAAAAACCGTGACTTTCGTAAAGTATTTGATTATTGAGTATATGCACTAAAATCTTATCGTTTTCGTTGATTAAATAGATGTTGTAAACTTTTTTACTATTAAGTAAATATATTTGGTGGTAAATTACGAATATGCCTTAAATATGTTAAGATCTTAGGCGGGTTTGAAATAAATAATATTTATTTAGCAGCGCTTTGTATATGTTATTTTTTTTGTTCACTAAGAACTTTATTAAAACCAAGGTGGAATACATGAGAAATTTTATGAATTACACATCTTAAGGTGCAAATTTTCAAAACTACACCTATAGTGTGGCAATTTTCAAAAATATATTTTTTCCTAATTTTAATATATATGTTTGGATTCACTAATCCTCAATTAATATTTAGATTTTGGGGTTTAGGGTTTAGATTTAAGGGTTCACTGTTAGATTTTAAGGTTTTGAATTTATATTTTAGGGTTTAGAGTTATTTGACTCAATGAAAAAAGTGTAGTTTTGAAAAGGGACACCATAGAGGTGTATTTTTTAAAATTAGCACCTCAAAAAATGTAGTTTTAAAATTTCCTCGAAATACATTGTTAAAATACTAAGCTGGCGGAAATAAAAAATTCCCCAAATACAAAGCTCACAAAGGGAAGGTAGAGGCCAACTACAAGACAAATGTAAACACAAAGCAACTAAGCAACTAAAGATGAAACAAATCAAACATACTAGGTTTAAACAAAGATGAAGGACAACACCAACTTAAACTAAAACACCAACCACGAAGAGCTTCATAACTTCTAGACTTCTAGAGACCCTTCCAAAGAACTTTGTATATGTTATCTAAAATACAAAACATACTAGCTATTTGCTTTTAATGATACACAATATTTCTTTTCTTTTTTTCAGTGAGGGCAAGAGCTTAAGTACGGACCTAGTGACGAAAATACTCTATTTTTTTGTAGTGACGTAGTTAAAAGCACAGTGAATTAAGCATCGTGACTAAAATTTGAGACAAAAAGTATTTTCGTCATATACCTAGGACGTTTTAGATACGAATGAGTACGGACCTTCAAAAACTTGTGACTAATGTTTGTTTTACTGTTTCGTTATTACTTCGTTACTACATTGCTACGAATAAGTACGACCGTGAATTGTTTATGATATTTTTAGTCGATGACAGGTTGATCCTTTTTAGCAAGTTGTTGAAGGAAATACTAACTAGAGTCGAGAGCTGTCATTGTTTTTCTAGTTTGAGAGAAAGGAACGTGCATGGACATCGTCCACATACAACTTCCAAATGAAACAGAATCTCATAAAAGCGGTAAGGTGTCAAGTCATCTTCATATAAAAGTCCCCCTTTCGTGTCCTTGTTTATTTCTTTCGAGATTTTCACTTTGGATTCATCCCACGAAGGTAATCATACTCAATAATTGTTGTTCCCTTCAAAATGATTGAAAATTATACTACGTTTTAAAGTATATTTTCAGACATTTATTTTCAGCCGAACATCATGGAAATATAGATAGATATGTATTTGTCTGATATATATGATTTCGGAAGAATTTTCAAAAGTAATAAGGCAATTCTCATATATACTACTAAGTCAAGTTATATTTACTCATGTTAGCAATATTTTCTCGGCCCGAAATTATAAAAAAAAATTGGAAGTAACCATTATATTTTTGCTAGAGCTGGAAGTTCCGTTGTAGGATTTGCTCAAAGCATTCTAAATTGTGTTCACAAAAATTTATGACTCTATTTAGATATAGATTGACTACACTCATGAAACGGACAATGTCTGACTACTCTTGAGTTTTGCAAAGAATGAAAAACATCTCTAATGTGTGTGCGTGTGTGTGTGTGTTTAACATCTTATCTCTAATGTGTCCTTTTGTTAATAAATCTTTTTGTCTCACAAGTTAGTTATATCTGCAAATTTTTAATGGTAAGAGTTGCCTTGTGCGTGGAACCTTGTCCTCCTTTCTTCGAGTAAAAAAGTGAAGAGATATGTCTGTCATTATCTAGATAATTTAAGGGAGAATTGGCAATTTACCCCAAATTGAAACTTCTTTTGTCCCACTACACCTTCCCGTTTCCTCTTTGTCCCAATACCTTTTTTTTTGACATTTTTCTCAGTTTTGCCCTTCATTTTAGTTTTGTTTCCATTTTCGTTTTTTAAATTAAAATATATTAAATAAAAATAAAATTAACAAAACTAAACTAATTAAAAAATAAACCGAAAAAAAACAAAACTTATTCTCTCCTTCTCTCCTTCTCTCGCGACGGCGCCGGAGGCGATCGATAACCTAATCTCAATCGATTTCGTCATGATGAAGGAAGGAAGAATGTGATGTTTTGGATAGTTGGAGGAAAAAAAGGAAAGAAAGATTTGAAAAATATTCAGTTGCAATATTTTCTCGATCTTCGCAGAAGATGAATTCTACAAAACCGTAGACGACACTAGTTTTGCTAGATTGTGTACTAGAAACACGAGTACTACGGATCGTAGAAAACATGGTTTTAGTAGAACACTACTTCTGCGGGATGTAGAGTAGACAAAAACACGTAGAATACGAAAACTATTTCTTGTAGATAGCAGTGTTTCGCGTAGAACGTAAAATCTACGAGTAGTAGAAGATACTTGATTGAGTAGAATACATTTGGTGCGAATTCTACAAAATGGTAGAGCCTATAAGAGTAGGTAGATATCAACTTCTACATCCGGAAGAGGTATGAATAAGTTGTAGATATTATGTTCTACGGAGGTTAGACCTCTGAATATCTTGCAGAAAACGAATTCTACTTTGTTATTTTAGTTTTGTAGAATGAAACTTGAAATATTTTTTTAAATATCATAAGCATTTTCAAAAATGTTCAAAAATTTTACACAGTGCTAAAATGATTTTTAGGAATTATGGCATTTTTTTCACTCCAAAATACATTTAGTATGAGTTTATAAATAAATTGAAGGGCAAACTTGACCAAAAAAGACCAAAGTCAAAAAAGGTGTAGTGGGACAAAAAAGTTTCAATTTGGGGTAAATTGCCAATTCTCCCATAATTTAACAGCCACTCCGTTTCAAAAAGTAGTATATCATCCTTAAAAAAATTAGCATATTAAAAAAACTATTACAAACTTCTATTCTACTCCTTATTAATACACAAAATAAAATTCTCTCTAAGTAATACACTAGGACAATAGAGTAAATCTGGATTTTGTTATCAGTTATGCATTAAATCGATTTCGATTTCAATTTTGAGGTTGAGTAGTTTAAGTGACGGGTTTAAGAGAGAAGTATTATGGGTCGGGTTACGTTTTACAACGTGCTGTAAATTGGGTTTCTTATGGGTAATCACTATTTCTAAATTGTGATTTCAGTGATTAAAACGCGAATTTGACAATGTGGAGTAATCAATAGCAATTGATAACACTGGGGGTAATAGGCGGAGGCTGAAAGTAGGATGGATACTAACAGAAATTGTATAGTTTGGGGGGGGGCTGCCTTAAAAATACAAAACAATAGAACAAAAAAAAACTCTAGGCGATATTTTTTTGTGAGCCAGTGAATACCAACTTACTATTTATAATTTTCTTAAAAGAGAAATTTGTTTAATTGCTAAAAATGAAGTTCTTTGCATAAACTACCCACTTTTGTTAAAGGTAATATAGTCTATTACCTCTTAATTAATCTAAAAAATATTGATCCTTTTATGACCCTATCAGAACTATCTATTTACAAAATTTACTTTCAAAACTATACTTTTTTTTTTAGTTGTCTTCAAAAATTAATTTGAAAATAAATTCTTAAGACTTTGCGGTAGTAGCCGCAACAACAAATGCAAACATATGTCCTATTATATGTGGAACTTTTTTTTTGACCCTGCTCACTATTCCAAACATATGTCCTATTTGTATAATACTTTCTTTTATAAAACATTTGACCAAAATTTTATACTTGTTGTTATTTTATTGTGGGTCGCATATGCACAGTAGTTGTGTTTTTGTACATGCCTAAAACTAAAACCTGTCATGAATGAAAAAAAAAAAAAAAAAAAAAAAAAAAAACCATTGTTGATTTCAAATATATCGCAAAATGTTTGTGATTCCAGAAATTTGCGGATACACTCGATGATCGAACATGACCATATCCTTTAAATCTATCATTATCCCTTTGAATATAAAATGGTTCCACCATTAGTTAACTCAAAGCACGTTCTAAATTTATATAGAATCAACGCCAAATCAAAGTATGTCGGAATTTAATACTTAAAAGTTTTTGCATATACGACACTGAGCATGATGGAAATTGGTAGACCCAGTCGCCAGACACGTGTAATCTTTTAACCCTATAAATAAGTATTCAATCACAAGCCATTTTCATCCTCCTATTGGCCCATATCACTATATTAGCAAGACCCATGAAACTTGACGATAAGCATTGTATTATTCACGCATATACTTGCAAAAAACATAATCAATCTCTCTTGTTATACATATCACAATTTCAACGGTTATGGTTAGAGCAAGTTGGGCATGTCATGCCAGACTAATATATACGTTTCTGTATGTTAGATTTCTATTGCTTCATTGATTCACAGTACACGTATGTTATAGATTTAAACTGATACATGACAACACCAATGGTCCAAAACTTACAATAATAACGACAAGAGGTTCTTTTAAGAGGAGAGATGGACAGGAGAACAAAGATACAAAAAAAAATTGGCGAAAGTTTCCATGCATTTTTGTTTTTGTCCCATGCATTTATAGTTCAACGCGAAGGAAAGGGATCTTACTTCATATTTATGTATATAGATCTTATTTGCGATTTGTTACAAGAAGTCCATAGATTTCTCTAACATTTTTTATGTAGTGACAAAACAAATAATTTAAAATATCGATATGCGACAATCTCCTATACTATACAGAAAATCTGAAAACAAATTCTTACACATATTATTTTTGAAGCTACCATAGATTTCTCATTCAAGCTCGTGAGTCTTGCATACCATCATTTCGTATTTACGTTGTAATTTTTTTTGTTTTTTGTAATTATTCGTGCTATATACTGTAAAATATCAACGATTTCGATAAACACACAAAACAACATTGTATACCAGTTATAATAATATTTGGATACACATTGAAGGTTCGTTGTTCGCACAGTCAATATATTTTATTCTCTTAACGTCAGCAAATTGTATTCCTATGTGGTACATGTACAAATTTTCCCAAAGAAGCTGGAATAAAAAATGGAGTTGCTTGCATGAAAAAAATACTTCACAAGTGATAAGAAGGTGACATCAGTTAAACGACAACAACTTCCAGTTTCACAATGAGATGATCACACTTTTGCGCAAAAATGACATGTTTGCTATAAGAAAATTATTTGTATGCAAAAGAAAAAAAAGTGTTTGTCGCATATCTTGTTGAAAACAACAGGACTCGACACTTCTCTCATAACAGCCTAATACATTTACTCAAGTGAAAATGAAAAAACGTATTTAAATTTCAAAGCACCTACACAGGGGCGGATCCAGACCAATATTTTGTATGGGACACAATCTTGAAAAGAAAGAAATTATTAAAAATGAATAAGGAAAAATGAACATAGATTCGCCACTGCCTACACCTACTACTCTTCCGGCGTTGATTGGTCAAATGTATATTTTTTTTTAAAAACAAGCATAAATTAGAGGATGTAGAGAAAATTGTAGAAGGATATGATTGTAGGTGTAACATCCGTAAACTTGAGAAGTGCAAATTTTTGTTAGTGTCGAGCGACACAAAGAGTTTGTGTCGGTCGACAACAGTTATTGAAAATTCGTCCGGTTCGATTTAAGTCAATTGGAACCCGGTTTGAGCCCGGTTTGGGTTGGAAACCCTTGGGTCTTGGATAAAAGTCGCGCAGCCGCTCCTCTTCTCTGGGTTTTTGTCGTTTTGTGGCGATTTTGGAGAGGAGAAGAGATTGAGGCGATTTGGGGTGTTGATCGATCGATTCGAGGCTGGTTCGTCGTGGTTGTGGAGCCTGCGTCGTCGTTGGTGGCTGCTGCGTCGTTGTTCTTCCTGTGCTTCATCAGATTCATCTTCTTCAATCTGTTTTTACCCTCTTTTCAACCTAGAATCGAGGTGAGTGCATGACTGTGGGTCCGTGATTGCTAGATTCAGATCTGTATATGTTTATGTGGTGATTTCGTGATGATATTGATGTTTGATTCAGTGTTTATGGTTGTTTGATTGATTTCCTGTGAATTGCGAGTTTCGGGTACTGTTCATAGCCCGATCTGGTTTTTCCAGAATCGGTGTCGATCGACACAAACCGGTTAACTCTGGTTAAAATCGATTTAATTGGTTTAATTGAAATTTGGCTGGTTTAAATCAATTGGAATTGGTTTATCGAATTGGATTGGTTTAATGTGTATTTAATTAATTAATTTTTTATTTAATTGATTAAATGGTTTAAAATAATTAATATAATTATTTTAAAATATGGAAAATTATTATTTAATTATGAGAATTATTTAATAATTGAGAAATTGAGTTTTAATTATTAAAATTATTTAATAATTGGAAAATTGGTATTTAATAATTATTGGAGTTTATAATATTATTAAATATCTAGTAATTGCGTAAATGGCTCGTAGGCAGAGTGATTGCCTCACTAAGTATTTATTAAATACTTACGCAACTCCATTCCAATGTGTTGCAGGTAAAAGATTTGTGTGATCATGGAATCAAGGCTGAAGAGGGGATGATAGGATGTTTATTGCTTTTATTTATTTTGCAATGTTTTGCTAGACTTGTTTAATTATTATTTGCTTCGCTGAACTGATTTTTTTTTATATTTATTTAATTTATTTTAAAGACCTTCGCTAGAATTGTTTAGTATTTTTTTTTTTTTTCTAAGTGTTGGTTGTTTAAGTAGGCAAGCAACTCATGCTTATTCAAATTTACTTAACCCCTTTTGATGCTAAACACGACATTTATAGTTAACGAATGTAACAAGACTCTAACAAGATACATTGCACGAACAAAACCCTAAGCACATAACATAACACGTATAGTTAGGAGGCTCTTACATAAGTAGCGGTAGCCTAGTGGACCGAAGAATATATGCAGAACTAAGGCCCTCCGAAAAAATGTGTTAGAAAATGGAATTTTGGGACGATTTTGCCTTTTTGACGAAAAATGTTATTCAATATGACAATAATTAGTCTGGCAAAATATATTAGTTGTCGGCATATTGTTGGCAAAATATGAGTATTTACGAAAATTTTGTAATAATACTTTCCAAAATTGTAATAATATTTTATTACAAAAGTTTTGTAAATACTCTTATATTTTGCCGACAATTTCGTAATATATTAATTGTCGGCATATTGAATGAAAATGTGAGTATTTACGTAAATTTTGTAATAATAAAATTTGTCGGCAAGTAATAGATCTTAACTTGTTATAATTACCACACACTTGGTAAAATATATAGAAACGTATACCTTTTATTCAAAATTAAAAACTTCAAGTCATTAACCCTATTACCAAAAATCTGAACTTTAAATCCTGAAATATAAACTCTTAAGAGAATCTCCAACCCAGCCCCATATTTCACTTTATTGCCATTTTGGAGTCAATTTTGCTCCAACCCAACCATTTTCAATCTCAAAATGGCAAAATGCCATATTTTTTCCCAAATTGAGGTTGATCCCATTTTCATTTCCATTTTGGCGTTGAAGTTTTTAAATTATATAACAGTCCTTGAAGTTTTAAATTATTTCAGTTTATATATAATTAATTATTTTGATGTTTATTTTTACCCTAAAATAAATAACACATATTAATAGAAATTTAATTATTTAAGCTAATAATAAATTTAAAAAGAAAGGAAAAATTTTATTAGAAAAATATTCAAAATGGTTCTAATTAAAAATAAAATTCAGTTTGTGTTGTTATTTTTAGTCTTGTAATAATGTATTATTAATATTTTCATAATTAATTTAAATAATTATAATAAATTGTGAAATTTTGAAGAAAAAAATTATGGGAATTTGTAATATATATAATACAATGTAAATTTAGTAATTAATAAAAAGTTTTGAAGTAAAAAATGAGGCAATACATTGGAGCAAAACTCAACTCCATTTTGAGATTTCTTCATTTTGGAGTCAAATATGAGGCAATACATTAGATGCCCTAAATGCTAAACCCTAGTCAATGATTGTTGAATCCAAACTGGTTAGTGTAATATATACAAAATAAATCTCTTCATAATCTTTGACTTGTAGAAACTGTTATATGTTAATCATTTAAAAAACAATGTCCATCAATGAACTGTGTTTTTTTTCCACATCTAATCTTTATATAATAAAATCTCCATTAATCTCCGTCACACAAACAGAAAATAATTGATTTATTTAGACACATTACACACTAATGAAAAGTAAGCTAGCACACACATAATCACAAACAAACAGTCGAAACAATAATAAAATTCATTTAACCACACCAGATTTTTTTTTTAAGACGTTAATGAAGTTCCACAGTTTCTCCATCCAACAATCTCCAAAGTTGATCAACGTCAAACGCGGATGTTGCTCCCTTTTCTGTTGCCGTAGCTACTACACCGAGCGCATCTGTTTCTTGGCTCTCTTCGAGCAAACTCTCCCACCACATATTCTCTCCGTTCATTAGATTATTCACTAGCTCCTCATCTTTGTTACATGTGGTGTGAGAGGTATTGAGTCCACGGCATGGAGGAACACCGTGAACTTCTGGCCGACCATGGAAATGGCTACAGCCGTTGTTAATTGTGAAGGATCGGGGTCGAGGCTTTAAAACGTCGATTTTGTGTGCCGGTAGTACCGTGGTAGGAGAACAAGGAATGTTCCTCTTTTTAATCTTGGTTTTACAACAAGGTTCATGCTTCTTACTCAAGTGGGTGTTCCAGTAATTCTTGACATCATTAGCGGTCCGACCAGGTAATCTACCAGCAATCAAGGACCATCTACACATTGTGAAACAATAGACATATGAGTTATTTATTTATTTTATGGCTCCCAAAACAATCATAATTAATTAATTAATATCTAGGAATTAGATTAACAAGTACCTGTTTCCTAGAAGCTTATGAAGGCGAAGAAGAAGATCAACTTCATCAGAGCTAAGTTTTCCTCTCTTGATACTTGGCTTCAAGTAGTTCAACCATCTTAGTCTACAACTCTTTCTGCACCGGTTTAACCCTACAAACCAATAATTGACATTAAGTATATTAATTACCCGTACTACGACTGCTTTTGTATATACTCGTATATTTTATCATGAAGAATCTATGAACACCAATAGAAATCATGCACTATTGTACACACATACACGTGTTCGTTCAGAAATTTTCAATAATAATTAGTTCATTTACTAAAAGACAGACCAATGAAAAAGTTTTAACGACTTTAAAGAAGTTGCCATATTTTCGTTTTGTCACCAAGAGGTTAGCAATATGCAACGTAAGTAAAAAAGAATATCCCATTTTTCATCTTTAGTCTTAAATATGAACAACATAAATAATTTGTCATGAACAACCTTAAAAAGCATGAAACAATGATTTTCTCATTAAAACAAAAGGAAAAACAATGATTTGTGCACCCGGGTTCATTTCTCAGATTTTGGTTCAATGACACGTTCGACTCTCTAACCGAACAATGAACATAGATCAAAGTTTGTATTTGCTTCAATTCATCCAACACCATATGAGAAGCAAACAAAGCAAAGCATAAACAAAACAATGATGGGTTTTTGGAGCAATAAATCTCGACAGGATTTTTAATCACTAATCGACCGTCAAAGTTAAAAATATAGAAAAACAAAGTAGAACCATTTGGACTATATTTCTTGAAAACAGAAACCCATTTGAACCGAAGCTTTTATCATAAAAAGTTGAAGCTTTGTTTTTTATCATATCGTATTCAGGGGATTTGAAGAGAACAGCGATATGATTCGAATAAATACCGATCTTTGTAGTCGAAACGTCGTAGAACTTTCCAGATTACGTTGAAGCTACTTCCGGATTCTGGCTGTCTTCGATGCTCTGTAAAAAGTTGAATCTTTAATATGTATGAAGCTTAGCTCATCAAAAAAAATCAAAGCTTTGATATGTATGAAGCTTTTTTCATCAAAAAAATAGAAGCTTTGGTATATATGAAACATTTGACATCAACAAACCGAAGCATTGATAAAGATGAAGCTTTTTCATCAAAAAAAATTGAAACTTTGATAAAAAAATCAAAGCTTTGATATGTATGAAGCTTTTTTCATCAAAAAAAATAGAAGCTTTGGTATATATGAAACATTTGACATCAACAAACCGAAGCATTGATAAAGATCAAGCTTTTTCATCAAAAAAAATTGAAACTTTGATATGTATCAAGCTTTTATCATCAGAAAAGTCGAAGCTTTGATGTATATGAAGCTTTTTTTCATAAGAAATAAAAATCCAAACTTTGATATGCACGACACTTTGTTAATCAAAAAAATCCATACTTCTAGTTTGCTTGTGTTTGTAAAGGAAACTGAGATGAAGATCTGAACACTTACTAGTCTCTTTTGCCTAATGGAGGTAAACTCTGCTCATAGCCAAAAAAAAAAATGGAACCAGGAGGAATAACCAGTAAAAGATAAGGAAGGCAAAAATGTTTTTAAGTTTTTAAATTTTATTTATTTCATTACGAAAATAAATTAGCAATAAAAAATATTTAACTTTTAAGTGATTTGAGCTCCCTAATTTGAGCTGACAATACTCAGCAAACGTGACATCGTACATCACATCGTCATTGTACAATGTAACCAAATTGATGAAACCACATTTGAAACTGAAAAATAAGTGGTAACTAGTGCCTAGTTAACTAATTAGTTCGGTTTGGCATCACAACTATTACACTCATTAGTGCCTAATGGTTCTTTATCTTTTTACAATGTAAGATAAAATTCAGTCTGTTTTTTTCGTTATTACCGTCCTATAATATTAAAAGGAAAACTAAGCAAGAGAAATATAGTATAGTCGCGTTAAGATCAAAATGTGTTAAAAATAATAACAACGAACTGAGCATTGAAGTTAATTCGTATATCTATTAAGTATTAACACATCAGGCTCG